GGTGGAGAGGAAAAGGGGGTGACGGACTCAAAGATTTGGGACATCAGCTTGCACCAGTCGTGGATCGAGGCTGCCATGTAGCGGGAGAAGATCCAGTCGAATTTGGCCGAATGTAACCACGGGTCCTCGACATCGTCGACTTCGATCTTGATGTTCGTGGTGACGAAGCGGGCGTGGATCGCCGAGATGTCGTTGCCGATAATCTAGGTAAGGGGGCAAAAGGGGAGGGGGAGGTAAGCGTGTGAAGGGTGGAGGATTAGGTGCCGGGTGGGAAAGGGAACTAACGGTGGCTTTGGGGAATTCGTCTGCGATGGAGATGGCCCCTGGAACAGGTGTGTGAGTGGCACCGCCCAAGAGCGAGGCGGGGTTGGCACTTACATGCGCCGTTCCCGGTGCCGATATCGAGGATACGACGGGTCTTTTCCTTGTCAATGGGCACCGCATAGAGCCCGCCGACGAGCCTTGTCATGACATTATGAAGGAGTACGAGGCGTTCCATTTCCTGTTCGTCATTTGGTCGCGAATACCCTGCTTATCACATAGCCTCGGGTTAGAATTTATGATCGATAATGTCGGCATCTTTGACCGTTACAAAGAGATATTCGGCTTGGAACGTACTACCCGCTCGAAAAGCGTGATATCGACGGCCATGCTCAAAAGGATAGTCGAGCACACTCGAAGCCAAGGATGTCGCATAGCTCGAGCCTCCGCTATTTCATGACACAGCCGTGTTAGTGAGTGACTTCATAAGTTGTCCGCCCTGCAAAGATGGCCGGATAGAAGGAATGAGGCTTGACTCGGGATACCACTCACGCCGCATCGTCCAAGTCGTTCTCTAACTAAAAAATAAAAAGAGATAATGTGTCAGAATCTCATCGTGTATTACATAACAAAAATAAAGCGGTGAGAATTACAGAAGCATCAACTTCGATTGTCTCGGTCCCGTGTTCGGTCCATGTGGCCGTGGCGGGAGCAGACCCGGATGCCGCCTCCTTATCTGCCATACTGCAAAAGTGTTTCAGCTCACTTTTCCACGGTGTACGTGAAGAGTTGAGCCAGTCTGCGAGGTCATCTGAGAATTGAGATGAGCGGGGTTTTACTACGGTTGATCTGGCTAACCACGCAGCCACGTTAAGAAAGTCCTGCAGAGAGGTTGCATCGAACCCCGGGATTGTTGGGTGCTTTGTCCCGTCGCCTTCGCCATAGGCCTAACCGGTTTTGCTGGCCGTCGTTTCTCAATCCCTGCCTGATGCTGGCGACTCAATTGTGAGTGGACAGGGCAATGCCGCAAGGACCGATCTCCCCGAAACCAAGCGGTTGGCCTTTTGAGTATGAATAACCTCGCTTCAAGGTGGATTCAACGAGGTATTTGGCCGAAAAAGAGACAACAAGCTCAGTCAGGGGTCCCAACGCGAGTAGTTATTATACACTCTTATCTAACAACTCCAAACAACACTCGTGGTGTCTGGGTATAACCTACCTAGTTAGGCCTTCCTTGTCTTCCAAAACAATGCCAACTCCGATGCCTTTTCCCGAAACCCATCTCCAACGGTAAAAGATACAAGCTTCCCAATCCCAAGTTCCTGCCGCCCTGGCCTCCATCCCGATCGCAGTTTAGGACTCTTTCAACCCGGCGTAGTCGCTGTTGGCAACCGCCTCGCGGTCGACAAACGGCGCGAAATTCCGACTCGCATACCGCTCATTATCCATATCCATCACCATGTCATCCCCGCCTTCCTCGTCCGCATCCTCCCTCGTCTGCTCAATCCTCCTCTTTACATTTCCACCAGCCCTTTCCCATCCCATATCCCCTGGTTGCTGCTGCACCTGGGGCTGCTGACCGCTCATGATCCCGACATCCCCCTTGGCCCTGAGGATATCCTCATATGTCGACAGCTGAAACTTGAGGTCGTCCCCCAGCGCGACGCAGAACCGCTGCAGCTGCATAAACTGCACCGCATGCACGATGCCCAGGCCATACATCTCCATCAAATACGCCGCCACCACCGCAGCAGACCTCCCATTCCCCGTCTCACAAACCACCAACACCTTTCCCCTCCTCCCCTCCTCGGCCAACGCCAACAGATGCTCATTCACCACGCGGGCCGCCACCGAGAAAACCCCCACCAACTCGCTCCCATCCGCGATATCAATGCCCTCGACCACTACCCCAGACCCCTCCACGGCGCGCCTCGCCCCGCCCACCAGCATCCCGCCCGTGGCAAACCGCGCGTCGCGCGCGCACAGCACCATGGTGATGCCCTTGTGCAGCAGAAAGGCGCGGTCCTTGGCGGCGCTGGCGGGGCCGAGGTACAGGAAGTCTAGGATGGGCTGGGCGGCGCGGCGCGACTCGTACACCCAGACGGAGGCGCGGGCGCGCTGGGGCCCGCCCTGCGTGATGGCGAGCAGCTGGGCCAGGGTGAACCGCGTGGTGTGCGCGGCGGTGGCGGACGGGTAGATGGTCATGAGGATGTCGTTGTCGTCGGTGGTGGTGGTGGTGGCGGTGCTGGGGTGGGTGGCGTCGTTGGTGGTGGGGATGGTGTCTGTTCTGGCGAGATTGGGGTGCAGCGGTGGCGGGACGTGGATGTATGGTGGTGATGGGGCCCGCGAGGAGTAGGGTGCTGCTGGGAATGAGGTGGGTTGGAGGAGTTGGGCATTATTGTTGCCCCTGGCGGGCGGGTTTGAGGAATTCATAGTGATGTGTGTATGTACGTGTATGTGTGCCTGCGTTGAGGGAATGAGACGGATGAAGGCGACGAGTTGTTGATGTGTGTGTGGTCTCTGGCGGTGAGGAGGCCGGGCGCCGGGAGATTGACACAAATAACTGAGCCGAGAAGGTTAGTCTCACTAGGTAGGTTTGGATGTTGGTGGCTCTTTGCTGTTGGTTGTCGATAACTGTTGGTGCAAGCAAGTCCAGTTGTTAAATTACGAAATGACAGATAACAAAAGGTGTACAATGACGAGGAGAAAAGAGAGACGTGCTCGTTATATATATCGCGGATTCAGGCAACGAAAACTACCGGGTACCGAACAGCGGTAGTGGAAACGTTTGGGATGTTCATTAGTTTTACCTTCCCGATCGATTGACGGGGTGAGATACACTCAGCGTTGTCACCGAGTGAAGTCACGACTCGTCCGAACGCGGTGTCTGCCTGGGCTGCAACCTGGAAGTGGGGCGGGCGAAATTGCACGAAGAGTTGACCCCAACCCTGAAGACGACTCGGGGTTCCCTGACGGCCTCTTGATGAAGCAGAGAGGTAGAAATCACCAGGGGTGGTACACAGCGGGACCAGTTTGCTGCTCCTCTTACTTAGTATTAAACGTGAAATAGCGTGTACTATATGCTATAGAGGGTATGGTTTTCTGACAACCATCGGGCATGTGGAATGCCGTTTACAATATATATGAACTCTGGCACAACAAGCCACCGTTCTAGGGGCTTCCTCTTGCACTGGGCGATTTTTGGGGTGCTTTAGCATGGCTAGCGGCGACGGTATCTCTGGAGTGACAGACCTTGACTACACGCGAGGGCGGACTTTTGCTCCGGCCGCTAGCTACCTCCGCTTCTTTTCCGATGTATCGGATGACGTGCTGCCCTTACGCGAGATCACACAAAAGATACTCTTCTGCCTCGAGCTTGGGCGTCGGGGTCCGTGGTCCGTGGACGCTCGACATACTGCCTCTCCGCATACTAGCGCTGCCGCTTCTTGTCCGTCTGTGCTCGCTCACTACGGCCGCATGCCGCGGGTGGTGAGCCTTTTCGTTAGCCGCTGCAACAGGTTTCTCCATTGTAACTTTCCGCCCGGGAAGCCACCAGAACCAGCCACGGTTCTGCTTGCCCAGCTTGCGATCCCGCTCTTTAATCCTGACCCGTAGCAGAGCGCGGCGCTCGTTCTCCTTCTCCCAGTACTCTGCCCTATACAGCTCCCAGTTCTCCCTAAACGTAGGTGAGAACGGCTTCGCCAGCAGCAGGAGTTTGATGTAGTCTCCGCCGGGAGCCAAATCCTCCTCGTGGCCGCCCTTTTCCTCATCCCAGTTCGTCACATGCACTGTCGGGTGGCTCTCCCGCGACAGATGCATCTCCCTATCCACCTCCCGCAACAACCCCGGTTCCACCCAGCGATATGAGCTCCCATTATTCGAAAACAAGCCGTACGTGAGGAACCAGCCGGCGGTGCTCAGGGCCTCCTTCCACCAGGGGCGCTTCATGACAACCAGCTTGCAGTTGAAGCCGCGCAGGCCGCGGTTGGAGACGGCAAGCCAGCGGCGCGGCCAGCGGACGCCGCGCTCCCAGATTCCTGTGGCCCACACGAGCAGGCCAGTTACGACGCCGCCCAAAAAACACATGTGCTCGGTGGTCTCCACCACCCAGTACACGCTGCCGCCGACGCCGCGGCCGTCTTCGCGCGGCGCGAAGAAGAGCGCGTACCCAAAGAAGGCCGTCCACAACGTCAGCAACGACAGGAAGAAGGTGTGATGCCGCCGTCGCGCCCGCAACTCTAGGTATTGCGCCCGCAGCGAGGCCTCGAGCACGAGGAGGTTGAGGTAGATCATCGACGGTGAACTCGGTGTGTGAGAGAGCGGGTCACCGGGCTTGCCCGGAATCGGGGGTGCGCCCGAGGACGCGATCGGGGTCGTGCCGCCGGCGGCTTTGGCGGGGTCCTGCCCCGGGAGGGTCACCGGGGCGCCCTTGACGATCGAGTCAAGGGAGTCGGACATTGTGCCAGTCGCCCGGGGGGGAAGGGGGGGGATGAGCACGGCGAGAAAATGTCGACAATAGGGGTGGCGTGCTGGGAACCGAAAGACTTCGGGTTCGGTGCCGTGGCCCCTCGGGAGGGATGCCTCGTCGATGGGCCCGGGGACGTCGGGTGCGTGCGGAAGCGAGTCAGGATCGGATGCCTAACGCCGGGCTCAGTGAAGGGTCGCGCGGGTGACGGCGTAATGCAGGGGTCGCAGAGAAGAGCTGCGTCAGCTTATCAGGCCTAGCCTCATGCAATAAAGGCAAATGTGCACTGGATTCGTATGTCCGGACTTTAGCATACTATCGCCGCCGGGTGCAATGCCAGAGCGGCGATTTGGTGGAGACGGGATTGGATGAGACGAGTTTTTTTTTTTGGCTGTACACTCGGCGCGGTCCCTGGTTGCTCGGAGCCTTTTTGGCGGCCTGGAGTCGAGCCGTAGCGTGCCATTTCACCAGCGTCATCGGGGGATTTAGCGGGTGTCATGGGGCTACCCTGCGCAAATCGGGCAGCGGAACGAAGCAAATTCCGATGCATGGGGCGTCGTCTACTTGGCCTGTCTCTGTTGGGGAGCATCTCACCAAATGCGAGCAAATGCAGCCACGACTCTTTGATAAGGGGCGGCGTCCCAGCGCGGCCTCGTTCTCCGTCTCACCATGCTCAAGACATACCCAACAACCTTTTTGCTGCCAAAGCGAATAAAGCTCGCCTCTCTGGCTGCACGTTGTGATCCCGACAGTACTCCCTCGCAGACCAACCACAACAGTACCCTCTCGACCGACGCCTCTTTCTCCCCGCAAGAAGACCCTCGACAGCCGATTCTCCTCGCACGCCACCGGACAATGTCGCAGGCGAATACCGACAGCGCGCCGCGCCCCCAGCGCATGACGGGGGCTTATTTTCCTCTCGGCTACAAAGAGGCTGCACAACAATGGGTAGGTTCGCCTTGTTGGCTTTAGCTGGTTGCATCCCCCCACTGTATGCCGCTGACTGACTGACCCCTCCCAGTGGACGAGCGTATCCTCCCGACAGGCCGAGCGCAATGTTCTCTCCTACGTTCCATTCCTCCGAGAAGCGACGGGGGAAACCGTCGGTTCGCAATTACAAGAACTTGCGAAGAGCGACCCTTTCGGCCAGAGGGTATGGCGGAGCTCGATGGTGCAATTGTCCGGCAAAAACCGCGCCCTAAATGAGTTGTCGATTGAGCGCGTGGGCGAGAGCGCCGATGACACCTTGGTTATGGTTCACGGCTACGGTGCCGGCCTAGGCTTCTTCTACAAGAACTTCGAACCGTTAAGTCGCGCACAAGGCTGGAAGCTATACGCGTTAGACATGCTGGGCATGGGCAATTCCGCGCGGCCAACCTTCAAAATCCAGGCCAAGGAGCCCAAGGAGAAAATTGCCGAGGCGGAAGGCTGGTTTATCGACGCATTGGAAGAATGGCGCAAGGTCAGGAAGATCGAGAAATTTACCTTGCTCGGCCACTCACTCGGCGGCTACCTTGCTGTCTCCTACGCCCTCAAATACCCCGGCAGACTCAACAAGCTCATCCTCGCCTCGCCGGTCGGCATCCCCGAAGACCCCTGGGCCGTCAATGCCGCCATGCCCGAACCCGGAGAGTCTACCATGGCGGCGGAGTTCACCCAGGACCAAGAGGGCATCGTTAACGGCGAGCCCGCCGGCGACAACGCCGCTTTCGTTCGCGCTCCGGCAGCCGACAAGAAAGCTGCCGCCTCCAACCCCAGCACCTCCACCACCCCTCCGAAACGCCCCATCCCCAGCTGGCTCGTCTGGCTCTGGGACGCCAACGTGTCCCCCTTCAGCATCGTGCGCATGGCCGGCCCGCTCGGCCCGCGCTTCGTATCAGGCTGGACATCGCGGCGTTTCAACCACTTGCCAGCGGACGAGAAGGAGGCCCTCCACACCTACTCCTACTCCCTCTTCCGCCAAAAGGGCAGCGGCGAGTACGTACTGCCATACCTGCTCGCGCCAGGCGCGTACGCGCGCAGCCCCGTCATCAACCGCATCCAGGACGTCGGGCGGCAGGAGGTGCGCCCGGCCACCGACACGGCCCCGGCGCTCCGCGAAGCCGGCCTGCCCATCGTCTTCATGTACGGCGAGAACGACTGGATGGACGTTGCGGGCGGGTACGCGGCCGAGGAGAAGCTCAAGCAGCGCGCCGTCAAGGCCCTGCTGCACGGCACCGACGACGAGAAGCGCCGCGAGAACGGCAGCGCGAAAGTCCTCGTCGTCCGCAACGCCGGCCATCATCTCTACCTCGATAACCCGGACGAGTTTAATGAGATGGTTATGAAGGAGATGGAAGAGACGAGGCAGCGGCGGTTGGCTGGGGGGGAATAGGTGGCGGCGGGTTTTGAGTCTGGCCGGTTGGATTTAATGGGAGTTGTGATTTATACGGTTGCGGTGTACGAACGGCGTTGGTTGGTGGTTGCGAGCTGCCGGTTCAAGACAGTCTCGATTTGGGGGTGCAATCCAGCGTGTGGCTTATAGACTACACTGCGGAGAGGTGTTTTCTCAGCGAATACCATACATAGACTACGGTCGAGCGCTTCGAGGAGCGAATAGTAGCAGGCGGGTGCCAGGTATTCAAAATATTATTATCCAGTTTCTAAGGTTTGTGACTTCCGGAGGAGTAGGAAGAATATATGAGGAAAGACTGCCACTTAAGCTGCCTGTATAAGCAACATTGCATAGTTCAGTCTGACGAGGCACCAGGTGTATTTTGCAAGGTAACTAGCCAATATAGTCAACTAGCTAATACTGCCGCCCAGACTGCTTGTATAAACAGTATTGGGTTCTCCATCTGGCGTGGCATCATGCGTATTTATGTATTTATGTAGTTAATATAGTTAACTATAGTCAAGTCAACATTTTCGCATTACTGCACGTATATTTTTCTCAGCGCCAACCTTAGCCTTCTCGGTTAACTAACTTACAAGCTTCTACCAGCCCCAATAACGGAGGAATAAACGAAGAGAATCAGCAAGACTAACTAGGGGTATCACAGAGGCCTGTTGCACCCACAAACCAACAAGTACGTACACAAGCACTATTACAGTCTGTATCCGACAACCTAACAGAAGAAGGGAAAAGAATAAACCCCACATACAGGACTCCCAACCCTGTCCCAGAACTCCATCAACTACCTACCTACCTAACCCACAACTCTCTTCCCCCGTCACCACCACACTCCAAGCCAACGCACCACCAACTAACCCAAACCAACAATAGTAACACCAACAACACTCAGCAACAACGCGACTCCATCACCCCCAACCCTCCGATTACTTTCCTTCGCCTCTCTCACCGCCCCCCTCCACACCCGCCCCAGGCCTCGGCCCAAAAGGAATGACGCCCGTGCTACTAAACACCGGCAAGTCCCCCCTCCTAACAGACGACGGCACAGGGGTGGCACACACATTTGGCGGCAGCCACTGCAGCGGCTTCTGCTGTTGTTTCTGATCTTCCCCTGGCACAGAAGCTGGCCGCGATCCCGGCGTGGGCCCGTCGGGCTGGTAGGGGATGAAATTGTCCATGGCCGTTGGAGGCGGCGGCGGTGCCTCAGAGATGGGGCTGCTCATGCTCATGTCCATGGATGGCGGCGGGGAGCTTGCAGGGAGGGGGGTGCCGTGCGGGTCGGTTTGTGGTGGGGAGAGGAAGGATGGGTGCGTGGAAGTTTCTGTGGCGGGGGTTGACGGGCCGATGGGGGTATGAATTTGGGGGAATGGCAACGGCGACGAGGGAGTTGCGGAGGGGTGGTTCTGGGCGTTCGCTATGATCATGTTCGGGGTTGCTGTGTCGGGCCGTGGAAGAGGTTCGTCGGCCGGTGGTGGCGAAGGCATCGGAATGGTTTCCGCCTTGGTGAGTTTCTCCCTTGCCAACCGTTCCCGCTCACGAGCTTCTTTCTGCGCCTTTGTGACGACCGTGATCTTGATCTTCTTCATCTGGCCGGCTAGCTTGTCGACCTCATCACCGGGCTTGTCAGTTGATGGAGAGTCAGCGGCGGCCGTGGAAGGAGCTGGCTGTGTTGCTGCTCCATTTGTGGACGCCGCGGACTTCTTGGTGCCCCTCGGTGCTCGCGGGACTGCTTCTTTCTTTGCCGGACCCCGCGTCTTCTTCACATTCAGGTTGTTGCCACTGGGGCTTGCGACGCTCATTGCAGTCCCGGGTCTGCCCGTAACATCTGTCTTGGAGTTGCCGCGGACCGGTACAATCCGAGGAACGGGCGGTGCCGCATCCACGGTCTCCGAGGCAGACGACACAACAGTTGACGCCGCACTAAGGCGTCGTGACGAACGGGATTGCTTACCAGGGACGGGAGTGGATGCGCGTGAGCCAGCCTCTGCAGCAAGGACAGTCGGTCCCGCCACCGTTTTCCGTCTGCTACGGTCGTCATCGTCCACACGCTGCGGCTTCGGCTTCCGTTCCCTCAGCCCCATCCTCGTTGACGGCCGGTCTTCCACAGGAGATACTATTGGAGGTAGAGACCCCGCGAGGACAGCCTGGCGCTCGCGTCTGGCCCTCGTGGCTTCAGCATTGAGCTCTTCGGCAGTGCAGCTGGTTGTCTGACGCGCACTTGGAATCAGTAACTTGCTCAGCTCGAAGGTGGCGACAGTCCAGGGCACATCCGGCGGCGGAGGCGGCTGGAACGAGATTCTGTGCACTGCATTGACTGGGGACAGCCCAGATGAGCTCCGATTCCTCGAATTTATAGCCCTTGCCTGTGATGCTTGGGTCGGCGACGAGTATGTCGGCGGCGGTGAAGTGCGAACTGGCTTTGGCACCGGCAAAGGAGTAATAAGAGTGGACTCGAGTTGTTGAAGTTCATCAGCGGACCACCACGACGACTCATACCGCCGGGCACCTCGCTCGCTCGCGCACGAGTCTTTCCGAGCGCGCTGCTGGATGGGTTTCTGGCCCATCTCAGAGGCTGCGCCGCCGAACTCCTGGTCCTTGTTGCTCGGCCCATCTCCGGCGAGACCACAGAGGTGGCTGAAAACGCCGGAGCAGAGCGCACGGTCGCTGTAGCCACCTTCGAGGACGCTGATGATGCGGCCTTCAACGCTCGTCCCTTCTTCCGCCGCCATACGCACCACGTCGCGGGTGAAGCGCGCGTAAAACTCGGTCGGCACATTGACGTTATGCCGCTGCATACCGGGGTCTTCATATTCGCTCGCGTCGAAGCCGGCTGAGAGGAAGATGGCTGCCCTCGAATTCAAGCCGGACGCCCTTAGCCGCTCTGTGTGGCTCTTCAGGTAAGCACGCGTTTTCTCGAGGAGAACCCCGTACTTGGACTCGTACAGGGCCCAGAAATCGGCCTCAGTCTGCCAAGATTGCAGGTGGACGTTCCATATACTCTGGCCGTGCGCGTTGTCGATGCAGATGCTTGCGTTCCTAACCTTGTCTTCATCGCCCATCTCACACGGATACGAGTTGATATCGTGTAGGCTGAAATAGCCAATCGATGTCTTCTTCCACCAGGCCGCGTTCTTGGCCAAACCGACACCTCGCGCATTGTGCTGCCAGGTGATCGCCTGGGAGCCGTCCCCGTGATGCAGGTCAAAGTCGATGATGGCGGCATGTGTTAAGCCATGGCTCAGTACGCCGTGCATAATACCGACGTGGACATTATTGACCCAGCAAAAGCCGGACGGATGGGACGCGGAGCAGTGATGTCCCGGTGGTCGGATCGCGACAAACGCCCGCTGGGGTCCTTGGGGCCTGAAGACTGCATCGACGGCATCACAAACGCCCCCGAGCGCCCCTTCCATGGCCTCCAACGACTCCGAGCAGAGATACAAGTCGCCCTCGTGAAACTTTTGCGGCACTTCCGCATTCACGCCTCGGTCCATATCCGGCCGCTGGAGTTCTCTACCGCCACCAGCGAGTTTTGCTTCGGCTGTTTCACACATCATCTTAAGCTCCTCCATCCACTTTGTTCCATGCACGTTGGTCACCGTTTGCGATCCCAGTGATAGGCGCCGATTTGATCTCTGAATCCGGAACGGAATCGAGGGAAGCGATGCGGCATCCGCCTCCGGGTGGAGAGGGAACGCGCCGTCCTGATGCCGCTCGCCCAACCTCACATATGCTGCTGAGACACCCAAAACACAGGCCTTGATCCTCTCGGGCCGCTCAACGATGGTGCTAAGCTGCGCACGCGACGCCCGAGGGCGGGAGAAACGATGTCCATAGCAGGCATCTTGAAGGATAACCACAGTCTCGGCTCGACGGGTAGGTTCGGGGCCATGGTGGGTATCCAGCTCGGCCTTGAAGTGCTCGCTGGCAACGGAATGGGGTGTCGGGATGGGCTTCTCTGGCACCTCTGGAGACATGCTCCGGAGGGGCGACCTGGCTGACCTGGTCCTGTTCGGCGTCGGGATGTTGGCGGAGCTCGCGCGGCGGGATGGAGTGATGCCGTTGACGGAATGCAGCGAGTTCATGGACGCCTTACGCAACAAGGTTGGAGTCGCAGATCGGGAGGATGGAACAACGGAAGCGGAAGAGCTGCGAAAGGGACTGTGCATCGCACTGCTCGGGCGCGGTGAATTTGGTGACCGGGAATGGTCGGCGACTGGTTTTAGGGGGGTAGGTCCAGCGGGACAGGCAGAGCGGGGTGTTTTGGCGGCGGGTGAAGAGGTTGCGATGGTTAGGCGATTCAAAGATTGCGCCAGGTCCCCATTGCCATCCCGAACATCATTGATGCGACTTGATTGATCCATTGTTGCCGATACCTTGTGCGGAAGAGAAATATCTAGGCGGCAGTGGAGATAGGCAACTGCTGTGGCGTCAAAACCGTTTATAGGGGGCCGCCGCTGTCGCACCAAAACAACGGAAGCCGATCGTTTTGATGCAAGCACTTTTAAGGGAAAAGGGAAACTGATAGTCAAAAAGTGGAGTGGATCAGGTCTCACAGCCAAACGTGCATCTCAAGCCAAGCTCAAAGCCACGTCAGGACGATGCAACTGCATCGGATAGTATTTTGTCATGAGAGTTGAGAAAGCGGATGCATCATCCGCTGGCGGCCGCTGAGTGACGGGATGGCAGTTCAAACAAAACACGCGCACAGGCGCGTCGTAGCGGGGGACGTCATAGGGGGAAGGAATGGCCACTTCACGTGATAACCACGAAATTGGGCGGGTCTATTCGTACCGAGCTCAGCTGTCATTTCTCTCCCTGTCCTTTCCTTCTGGGCAAGTGATGAACTCGTGGTTGTCAAACAAACGAACAACTTGGATCAACAAAGCTTCCATGTGGGCGACAGGAACTCCAATGAATAGTAACACTCTTATTCCCCGATCCTAATTCCTGACACATATTCGGCAAACATGAATTACAATCATTCATGTTTCCATTGCTCTCTTGTGTTTCGTACTTCCTTCAACTCACGTCTGCCCCGCTCCCACATTCAAGTACGAATCATTTCCCATTGTGGACGCCAAGAATATTATTGGTGGGGTGGCGCATTTCCTTGCTGGCCATGCACCCGAGCTCCCAGAATCGGCTGCCCGGATTCCAGGAAGCGGCAAGAGGTCATCTGCAGCCGGAGACCTTGACTGAGCCGCAAGCTGCGCAAAGAGGGGAGGAATTCTTGATTCTGACGCCATGGGAAGCTCTCCGTTGGCGAGCAAAAAGGCGTAACTACTTCCGCGAGTGAGTTATTTGCCAGTTAGGTGCATGTATCTTGGCCCTGGCACCGATGACTGTACTAGGTTGTATTCGTGGCCTGCGTTCCTTCAGCCTGCCTGGCCCTTGGAGGTCGCTTAAAGCCGTAATTTCACCTCGTGATGGTTTTGTGAACTCTCTCCGCCGTCCCGTTCTTGTTCGATACTGAGGATAAACAAGACAAGATGGCACGCCGATTCCTCGCCGCGCTTGCTCTCGCGCATAGCGCCGCTGCTTTAATGGAAGGTTTTGTCGATGTCTTGGTCCAAGTAGACGAGGTTCGGGTCCCCGCGGATCTTGTTGCGGGTATAATGCAGGCGGCCGGGAGCGACGATGGCTACGAGGCCTGCGAAACCGCCGACGCCGCGATCAGCTACTGCTACGATGCCGGCTATCTCGATCCCACGGCCCCGGCCGTCCTCGGGAACGCCTGTTTATGTTGCGACGGTGCCACTGGTATTTCCGCTGTATACTCGAGCTGCGCCTCCTACGCCTTGAACGAGGTACCCGATGCCACCAGCGTCTACCAAGGTACGCTCAGTTGTCCGCGCCGTCTCTGCCACTTCATTTTAGACTAACTTTTGCTAGCCGTCTCTCAAATCTACAGTATTTGCGCAAACAGGGTTGTCTGCGGCGCTACGGCAACTTCGCGCCGAGCACCGACACGCACGGTGTCGGATGGGAGCTCCATAACCGTTCCTCCAGTATGCTCATCGATGCTCGATATCTACAGCTCTTGCTCCGAAAACCTGGATGTCCAAACTGCTGGGCCCGAGGATGCCGCCTCCTGCTTCTGGTATGCTGCCCCCTGCAAGACCGTACACTTGTGGAGGTTAACATGATGCTAGCCCCGAGGCGTCGGGCACTGTAAACACAGTGTTCCAGGACTATGCGAGCTCTTGCGCCCCCTGGGCTCGAAGTTCATTCCCTAGGGATTATTCTAGTAAGTGCAAACCCGCCACATTTCTGTGGGTGTGCTTGGAGGAACATAGGGTCTGATACTTTACCTAGTCATCAGCCAACTCGCGACATATTGCGACGCATATTTATCTCCCAGCACTGAAGCCCCGTTCTTCACTACGGCTGGGACTCGCACTGACGGCGAATTTGCGCGTCCCTCGACGACTTCCCCGCCGGGTGCCGCCGATGACGGCGACAACAACGACAACGACGACGGGACTTCTCAGGGCACTGAAACGACCTCGACTTCGACCGGGCTTGCCGCTCCAGGGTTGGCGGTACCCGGGGCTCTGGCCTGGTTCGCCAACTTGGCCACACTTTTTCTCTCGTTTTTCTTTATGATTTAGACGATCGAGTCGGCAGACTATCGCATTTTGCATGTGGTAATGAGCAAACGGTCAGATTAGGGACTGTGATGATCTAGACAGTGATGCTGAGCGGGTAATGGTTGGGTATCTATTGTGTACTTTTGGATAGGGTATAATCTAGACGCTACGATTTTCATCCGATGGTTCTCATTCCGACCTCGCCGGTCCCGGCCCTCTATTTCCCATCAACTTTCCCCACCTGGAAACTAAGCACTCCTTCACATTCACGACGCGCAAGCCACATGCCGACACCCCCACGGGCTCAGCACCATAGCCTTAGGAACCAGCTCCAACCCGCCCCGCCCCGTCCCCTCTTCAGCGCCCTCCTTTCCCAACCCACCCCACGCAGCTGACCCAACCGACCCAGCCTCACCCGCCCCGTCCCCGAGCTCCACCCGAAACGACGCCCGCACCCGCTCCATAATCCGCACGATCTCCGCATCCCCCGCCGCAGGATCAACAAACTCCACCGCCCTCCGCCCCCCCGGCGGCAGACCAGCAGCGCCCAACCGCTGCTGCCGCCTGCCCTCACCACCATCACTAACCTGAACCACCAAGTACGCCTCCTCCAACAACGGACACCCCCGGATCAGACACACCTTGCCAAACACCTCCCACGGCCGGCGCACCTCGGCGGGGACGTAATCCACCGCCAGCCGGCGCACCACGCCCGCGAGCCCACTCGGCCCGGCCCCCGGTCCCGTTCTCGTCGCCGCCGCCGTCGTTGTCGTTGTCGTTGTCGTTACCACCGCTGTTCGGGCCGTCGCCGCCCCGGCCGCAAACTCGCGCGCCCAGTCCGCGTACCCCAGCCCGAGTGGGTCAGCGGCGCGTGGCGGGCGCGGTAGGTACAGTGTGTCGAGGTGCGGGTGGTGGTAGAAATACCTGCGGGGTTGGGGGTCGTCGTCTTCTGGCGGTGACTCGGTTAGATCGGGGGGTGGTTGTTGGGTGGGTGGTGATGGTGGTGATGGTGGTGATGGAAGGAGGCACTTCGCGTAAAGGCGCAGGCCTTCGGCGCGGGATTCCCGCGAGATGTGGAGGAGTGGGGGCGGCGGAGTTGAGCAGTGATAGGTGTCTCGCGGAGCCGGGAGGTAGGAGAGGGTTGTCACGCGCGGGTGGCAGGCGTGGTGGTAGATTTGCAGGCGGAGTTCGGGAGGGAGGAGGGGGAAGAGAGTGAATGATGTTGGGGATGTCATCGTCGAGGCGGTGGTGCAGGTGGGAATTATATGTCGAGTTGGACAGAGGGAAGAGAGGTAAATAATCGAATCACTCCAGTTCAGGCTGGGGATTGATTGTTCTGTTTAGGTGTGGCTCCCTCTCTTACATGTAAGTGAAGTGAATGCCAAGATCGTGACGTCGGCAAGGGGAGAGATTCCCTGGTATTATAAGTTGCTAAGTCAAGGATGGACAAGAACAAAAATAAACACCGCAGAGGAAATTAACCATGCCAATGCCGCAATCATGGGCAACGTGGAAGAAAAGCTTGAGCTTGCCGCTTAAAGTGTTGAGTGGGACCCATTACCGAGGTTATGGGCTGATTTCAGGCTTCAACTGAGTTAGCATTGATGGCATTTGCTGCGGATTCATTGCCAAGGACGGCAAGCGCAGGGTTGATGAGCCGGGAACCCAGAGAAGACGCCCAGATCTCCCTTGGCGAGGGCGAGGACTTTGACAGGAACTTGCCAGCCAACGCTTCCACTTGGTAGCTTCTCGAGGAAATGATTTAGGTGTCAAGATGCCTGCCCACATTGGTCACAAGAATTCACTCGGCCTCAGATTTTAGGTCCGGTTTTCCAGTGGTTTGCGTTGCAAGCAGCTAACCGAACGTATCAAAGAGGAGTATCCCGAGAATCGTATGATTTTTGAGGAAAAGTCATGGTGGCCTATGCGTTGCTGACCGGTACAAACAAACAAGCAAATTCAGATGATTCTGCCGGGACTGGATTGCCAGAAAACTTCTTCGTCTCTACCTCTTTTGGGCGAGGCTATGAATCTGATATTATACCACGGCAAAAGTGCCCACTCGTTGCTCTGTTTCCTGATGGAGGTGTCTCGTAATGCCTCCATTCGTTCGTTCAGTATTACCGCAAGTCGAACTCGTCGTTGTCGCCCTTTCCGTCACATGGATGAGGTCACCCTGAGCCCAAAACGTTCTAGACTGGTCTGAGGCAGAGGGCGACTGAGTGGGGCTCGGCCCCTTGGTGGGGCTTTTCGGAGGAGACCCCGCGATCCGCGTTGAAGAATTTCGGGGCTTGGCGGCCGAACCACTCCTGCCCGACCGATGTGAACTGGAACCAGCAAGGACTGGCAGAAGGGCGGGGCGGAGAATGTGGGCAACTGCACGAAGAATGGCTTCAAACAGGACGTACACCTCGCCTGCGCTCACGTTTGAGCTGACAGCTCAGTGTTCGGTGAGTGAAACCCTAGTTCCATCGTGTTGGTGAATCTCGAAGAGGAGCGAGCCATTGGGCTAACGCATGTTGAATGCAGGTCACACGCGCCCGCGCGTCGATCCTCACCCTCCCTCATGGCACTGTCAACCTCCCCATATTTATGCCCGTAGCCACCCAGGCGTCGCTAAAGGGCCTCACTCCCGAACAACTCGAGGCCACCGGATGCCGACTCTGCCTCAACAACACCTACCACCTCGGCCTCAAACCCGGTCAAGAGGTCCTTGACGCAGTCGGGGGCGCCCACAAACTGCAAGGATGGAACCGCAACATCCTCACAGATAGCGGCGGGTATGGTCCCCTTTTTGGACTCTGGTCCTCGTTCCTGACTAACTAACCACCCAGCCCAGTTTCCAAATGGTCTCCTTGCTGAAGCTCGCCAACATCACCGAGGAAGGCGTTCGCTTCCTCTCGCCCCACGACGGCAGCCCGATGCTGCTTACCCCGGAGCACTCAATGAGCCTGCAGAACTCGATCGGCTCCGACATCATGATGCAGCTCGACGACGTGCTCGTGACCACCTCGCCCGACAAGGCGCGCATGCGCGAGGCCATGGAGCGGAGCGTGCGTTGGCTGGATCGATGTATCGCCGCGCACAAGAAGCCAGACACACAGAACCTATTTTGCATTATTCAGGGTGGCCTGGACCTCGATATGCGCCGCGAATGTTGTCGCGAGATGCTGGCGAGGGACACGCCCGGGATTGCTATCGGCGGACTGAGCGGCGGCGAGGCGAAGGACGATTTCTGCAAAGTCGTTTCTACTTGCACCGAGATGCTGCCGGATCTAAAACCGCGGTATGTGATGGGAATTGGATATCCAGAGGATTTGGTTGTCAGCGTCGCGCTCGGGGCCGACATGTTTGACTGCGTTTGGCCGACGCGGACGGCACGGTTCGGCAACGCCATTACCAAGCATGGCGTGCTCAACATGAAGAGAGAGACGTACGCGGCAGACTTTGGACCCATTGAAGAGGGCTGCGGGTGCCCGTGCTGCCGGCCCATCGAGGAAGAAGGGGCCATGGGGATCACAAGGGCATTTGTGCACCACAACGCGGCTAAGGAGACGGTCGCGGCGCATCTGCTAACGTTGCACAACGTGTGGTACCAATTAAATCTAATGAGAGGTGCGAGAGAAGCGGTTATGGAAGACAGATATCCGGCATTTGTGAAAGAGTTCTTCGGGAACTTATACCCAGATCGAAGTAGTTACCCGCTATGGGCTGTTAATGCCCTGAAAGGAGTCGGCGTTGACTTGCTAGAAACATAGACATTTTTGCTCTTCTACTTGAGATAGTTATTGAATCAATCAATATCCATTGAATTTAGCTCGTCGCCCCACGGCTAGCTTGCTTGGTTATTGTGTACGCTAGGATGTTGCTCGTACGGGTGTTTAGATACAGGGTTAGGGTACTAACTATGCGCTTGGCGGTCATTCGTCAAAAGCCGGCAATCCAACCAAGCCCCGAAATTTTGCTCCGTTTCCGACCGCGAGCTCCGACGTCGACACCGACAACACACGGTTCAGGCCGATCTAGACTCACAATGGCGGCCAGGAGCGTGTCCCCCGGAGGCGCGCTTCTCCGGACTTCGCGCATGTTTGCGATGGCAGACCCAATCCCTCCACCACCCATCGAGGGCGCTGCGGGCAGCTTTTTTAGCTCTACCACGGCGACAGTCGCCTTCCCGACTCACCAGGTCATCACGACCCTTAGCTCCTCGAGGAAATTGGGAGATTGGGGTCTCAAGCGGCCGTTGCCCCTCAAGTCGACGACCAAGTCGTCCAACCCGATGCTGCGCGTTAAAGCTATCGACACGATCGAGCAGATCACGGACTACAGCTCGGCCACCGACCACGGCATCACACTACGAAAGTTCCAGGAGCTTGGAATCCCTGTTACGGCACGCCGGCCAGCCGGCGGGGACCGCCCAGAGAGCACAACTACTATGAACCTACCACAGATGTCCGCGTTCGAGGAAGCGCTCGATGCTACGGATATCGACCCCGACAAGCGAGCTGAACTCGTGGACATGCGGTGGAAGTTTACCGGCCCCTGGTTAGCTGGCATGACGCAGGGCGAGTTCAACAAGTGGTTGGCGAAGGAAGTTCGACCCAAGCGACCTGCGTTCCGCCAGTTTCTGAAGAAGAAGATCGCCAGCGAGCGCCATGTGGCGATAGCGAAGGAGGCCTTGGATAAGGGGCAGGAGCAACCCCCTATGGTGGACTCAAGCACGGTGACAGAGGACGAGCTTATCGACTACCTTCGCAAGTTGCGGCACAACAACCAGGCGTTGTACGACATGGTCGGCCAGTTCCTCGACCTAGCACCGCTCATGCCTCCCGACGTCAGTCAGACGGGCCTTCCCAAGGAGAAGGTCAGGGCGCTTCAGTTCAGCGAGGTGAAAACCCCGTATGCTGAGCGTGGTCCCCCGGTTACGCATCCCTCGGCCGGTCTATCGTACCTGCGTACGTCCATGTACATGGAAAACCACCCGATCTACGGACCCCAGAAATACATCACGCCGGTGGTAGGCAGAATTCTAAAACCGCGGCGCCAAGCGCAAGCCACGGGGGCCAGGATTGGTGTGGCCGGTTTGATCGTCAACACCGCGTTGGGTGACACGCGCTTTAATCAGCGGAATAACCCGGCCGCCGTCTTCGACAAGATCGACCCCAGCGTTGAGGGTGGCGCCAAGGTGTGGGTGCAGCCCACGAGGGCGGCGGTGGACTCGGTCGGTTGCGTGGTCCTGTCGGTCAACGACGCCTCGGTGGAGGCCACCCTCGTTGCGCAGGAGTTGCTTGGCAACGCCGTTTGCCTTGGTGCAGAGCGGGCGGAGGATGAGATGACCAGACGCGAGACGGCCAATGACCTGAGGCGGAGATATAGGGCGCCCGACTCACCTACTGCGATGTCGAGTGCCCGGGACTACGGACTGAGCGAGTAGTATGCTCGGAGCAGCCGATGGTCGTGCTTGGGGTTGAGTGCAAGAGCGAGGCGGAGCTGGATGCCGGAAAGAGCAGCCGGGAGGCAATGCAGATATGACTGTAGCCTGAATCTTGTAACAATAAACCACCTGTAGAATAACCCCTACGACATTCTATGCCTGCCCTGGAATAGACCCCTTGGATGAGAAGCCCCACTCTGGCGCCACGAGCCGTGAGCCACACCAGCCACGAGTCATATCCGCAATCCTTGGCATGCCCTAACGCACCACCCCACAATTGTGTCCGCCAAAAAGTCGGCTTGGACCGCAGCCCGCGATCTTCCCGAAACCTCGTCGTCCCGAAACTCCAGCTCAGCAAAACAGCCAGCAACTAACCAAGCCGTCAAGATGGGTCGCGTTCGTACCAAGACTGTCAAGAAGTCCGCCAAGGTCATCATTGAGCGGTACTACCCCAAGCTGACGCTCGACTTCGAGACCAACAAGCGGGTGTGCGATGAGATTGCCATCATCGCCTCCAAGAGGCTGCGCAACAAGGTGTGTTTAATCGGTTCCCCGTCGAGGCTCGATTATGGGCTCGAAATTGACCCTAGATGTTTTTCTAGATTGCCGGCTACACAACCCACTTGATGAAGCGCATTCAGCGTGGCCCCGTCCGCGGTATCTCCTTCAAGCTCCAGGAAGAGGAGCGTGAGCGCAAGGATCAATACGTCCCCGAGGTTTCCGCCCTCGACTTCTCCGAGGCTGGCCAGCTCGAGGTTGACGCCGAGACCAAGGACCTGCTCAAGCACCTTGGCGTACGTTTTTCGTCTTACCCTTTTTTGGTTTGAATGGACTGGAGAGAGGTTTTGCTGACTTGCTCGCTCTGCAGTTCGACTCCATCCCCGTCAACGTCACCCCCGTTACCCAGAACCCCGTCGTCGAGCGCGGCGGCAGGCGGTTTGGCGACCGTCCGCCTCGTCGCGACTAAACGTGTTTTTTGCAACATATTGGCTGGCTTTTTCTGGGGAAACACGACAATCTCACGACACACAAAAGGATACGGCTGCGGGTTATGGCAATACATGGGCATGGCTACACGGCGTCTATCTGGGAGGTCATGAGAAAGAAGGAATAGATTCTCGACTAATACAGAGATCTGTTGCCCACAAAAGGTGTCGCCGATTCCCTAGGGTAATTCCGGGGATGACGCTTGATTGCCAATCTTAAGTTCCTTAAGGCTGTGGTGCGTGCTGAAACTCGGGCTGTGCTGCTGCCGGCTGAATTTGTCAGTGATTATCTGTGGTTCGGCTGCCAAATGTCGAGCCTGCAAGGTGAGATCAAATGATTGTGCCCAGGCACGATTTTAAGGCGACGATGCGCACCTGATGCTATGCTCCTCCCTTAAATGACCCATTTATGCTCAACCCCCAAATCATCACTATGACCAACTCCGTTAACCGTTTTCCGTCAAACGCCATCCAACGTAAAAACTATCGACTCTTAGAACCGGACGGTGAAGAAGTCATCGTCATCGTCAGCGTCATCATCACCGTCGCTTTCAGCGCGGCTGGTACCATCCGCTGCCTTCTTAGTAGCTTCGCTGCTGTTTTTCTTAGCCAGCGTTGTAGCGGATCCAGTGTCTTTGCCCCTAAATATCTTGGGCATGTAACCCTCGATCATATACTCGGTGCCTTTTAGTTCACTGGAAGGAGGCTGCACCGGTTCAATAACAGCCGTGTCGTTGATGTTGACATCCACCCTTGTTACCCCGACAAGCAAACCCTTGATTGCATCGCCCCGTTCACCAGCGAGCAACGCCGCATCTTCCTTCGGGTCACTCATTTGCCGGCTGAGCTCGAGCTTCGCCATGATCTCCGCCAGCTCAATACGGTCTTCCTCCTTACCGCGTGGGGCCAAATTCCTCGCCCCCGGCCGCCCTGCCAGCCCCTTCCCCTTATCACCAGCACCCTTACCCTCCTCCCGCAGCTCCAGCTTGACCACCATGCCGCCGCCGCCGGGGCGCTCGTCGCGCACGTAACTGGGGTTTTCGAGCTGGACTTTGAGATACAGGCCGCGGCGCGCGCACGCGTCCGAGCACCATTTGTTGAGGTCCTCGGTACGCGCGATGCCGTGCCCGATGCGGAAGGACCCATCCAGCGCCCGCCGCGGCCGCCCGCACAGCGTGTACCCGCACTTGCCCAGGCAGTTGCGCTCCTCGATCAGGTCCATGTATTCGGAGGGTTGGAAGTCGGTGAGGAGCGTCAGGAAGGTGTCGGTGTCCGCTGCGGAGGGCGCGGACGCGGAGTGGGTGGTGGAATGCGGGAGTTCGCAGAGGGTTTCGAAGGTGGAGAAGGGGACTGGTGGCTTGAGTTGCGTGTCGCGGAGCTTTTGGAGCAGGCGTACGCGTGCGGCGTTTTCATTGCGCGCGAGGATCTCGGCGCGTGTGAGTTCTGCTGTTTCTATTTCTGCTGCTGCTTCTTCTTCACCGGGTGGCGTCGACGGGTAGACGGTCGACTGTTTGAGAATGCCCTTGAGCTTTGGTCTTGATGCAAGAGTCGTTTGAGATTTCATGGTGGATGGTGTTGCCATTTTGGTGTGAGTGATTGATGGTAATGTCGATTCCTCAGCTAGGTGACTTTTTTGTGGGAGATTGTTGTCGAGGTGCCCGTGACACGAGATCGTGCCTGGAGGCTGACTGCCAGTGATGACCTCAGTGCCTGATCCTTGCTGCCGCATCGGCGCCATGATTGGTCGATGCTTTGGATGCTGGCTCCACTGAATGGCATTTGAGGAGGGGCTGTTCTCCCCCGCAACCAAGCAACACTCCAGAAGACCTGCAACAGCGAATGCCCAAGCCACCTCCTGAGGCTCCGGGTGAATTGCTGCCTGGCGATATCTGGAACACTGCGACACGACACACGTAGGCTCTGACGAAGGTGGTTGGAAGCCAGCAGAGTGATCGCAGTGGTTCATGCGCTGACGTCGCCCCTCTTGAAGTATGGAGGTGGTCCTTGTAAAAGTCGGCAAGTCACCCACCGTGCCCACCCACACTCAAACTCTCAGTGCCGTCGAAGTCTTGGCCCCGGCTTCGCCCACTGTTTAACTGTAGTTAAGCTGGGAACCCCTCCGCCGCCCCCAAACTCACGTTCCAAGCAGCCCCGAGCCTGCCTGCCCGTCAGCCAAGGCTACCCACCAGGACCGCCCTTGGGTCACAGCCAGATCTCCATCAACCCGTTTGAGATTTTGAGCCCTTCCGCATCCTCTCCTGCCCACAACTCCTGTCAGGCCCGTTATCGCGCAGGAGCTTTGTTTACACTCGCCAACTTTTGTTGCGCGTTTTCTTGTGCCGCCTTAGCAACCATCGTGTGCTTTGTGCGGCGATCAATTAGTACGGTAGGGATTTTGGTTTGGAAGCTCGAGCTCTCCAAAACCCCGCCACCACCTCAGCTTCCCTTCCTTCCACCTTGCATCCACTCCCGCCATCTGCCACCACTGCTGGTCGCGAGCCGCGTCATCATGTCGTTCAAGGTCAAAGCCCTGTATGACTATGTCTCTGGGCACGAGGACGATCTAGGTTTCAATGCCGGGCAAATCATCACCGTCACCGATGAAGAGGATGATGACTGGTACGGTGGGGAGTATGTTGACGACTCCGGAAATACGCGCGAGGGTATCTTCCCTCGGAACTTCGTCGAGAAATACGAGCCTACCGCCCCGCCCCGCCCGACGAGATCGCGCCCCAAGCGTGAGCCCGAGGCTGCTCCAGCGCCCGCCCCCGAGCCTGCTGCCCCGCCCGCTCCGGCGCCCACCCTCCCCGCTCCCGATTCTCCGAAACAAGCGGCGCCGGAACCCGAGGAAAGACCAGAGCCAGTAGCTCCCGTATCGCCACCCCAGGCCTTCTCTGCATCCCCGCCGGCTCCGGCGCCCATTGCAGCGCCTTCGGCACCCAAGCCGGTGCAGCCGGTGCGAGCTGTTGCTCCCGCCCCCGCTCCTGCGCCGCCCGCCCCACAGCCCGCCGAGGTCCCGGCTGCAAACTCACCGCCTTCCCCAAAGCGCGCCCCCTCGTTTTCCAAGCCGGGTGGCCCTCCTCCCGTGACGGAGAAGCCGAGCAGCAACTCGTTTAAAGATCGCATTGCGGCGTTCAACAAAGCTGCCGCCCCGCCGATCACCCCATTCAAGCCTAGCAGTCTGAGCTCTGGAGGAACTGGCGGCTTCATCAAGAAGCCATTCGTTGCGCCCCCGCCTAGCAGAAATGCCTACGTTCCACAGGTGTCCCAGGCTCCTGTCGCCAAGCTCTACCGCAGAGATGAAGACCCGGAGGTAAAAGAACAAGAAGCCGAGGTACTCGAAAATGCTGGTAGGGCGGGTCTCGTCCCCACGGGATCCTCAAATGAGGGTGACGCTGCCGAGGATCAGCCTAAGCCCATGAGCTTGAAGGAGCGGCTGGCCTTGCTGCAGAAACAACAGATGGAGACAGCCGCCCGGCATGCCGAGGCCGCGGCCAAGAAGGAGAAACCCAAGCGGCCACCCAAGAAGCGTCTCGATAGTCAGGACACAGTCGAAGGTGAAGTTGTTGAGCGGGTCGAGGAGACGGGGAGGACCTCCACCGACGAGGCGCCCCCGCCGCGCATGACACATGCTCCCAGGCGTAGGTCCTCCAAGGGAGCCGAACCTCGTGACGGGAACGAGGCGGATATGTCCGGGGCCGGCGAGACAACTGAGGGCCAGGAGGACCTCACCGAAAAGGAGGACAGTGATGGCCGACCCAAACACGTGGCTACAGTATCTAAGCAGGAAGATAATAATCGGGAAGAGGAAGAGGACGAAGAGGACGAAGACGAAGAGAACGAAGCAGAGGAGGAGGATGATGTGGATCCCGAAGTTCGCCGCCGAGAAGAGCTGCGCGCGAGGATGGCCAAGATGTCTGGCGGCATGGGGATGCCTGGCATGGCCATGCCCTTGTTCGGCGCTCCTGCTCCGGTGCTTCCAAAGAAGAAGAAGGCTGCCCCCGAAAAGCCGGTGGAAGAGGCCGAGGAGCCCGTTTCGCCGGCGACGCGGGTAGCCCCCCCAGTCCCCCTCCCCGGGCTGATGCGGCCTCCTATCCCTACGGACCCAAAACAGCCCGAGTCGGAGGACGAAGAAGAGGAGGAATCGGATCTCCGAACTCCGCATCAGGAGGCTGCTCCGCCAGGTAAGTTGCGTTAGAAGCCCACTTGGGCCACAATACTGACCGTCGCAGTGCCGCCTACGGAACAAGGAGCCCCTCCTCCTGTTCCTGGTGGACGACCGGCTCCGCCTCCTGTACCTGCGGACTGTGAGTATCATCGTGCCCAGCGTTTTGAGCCATGGAATATTATTGTTAATCTCGTAAAGCACGTCCGCCGCCGCCGCCTCCAGCTACCTCGGCAGTCAAATCGCCTAGTGAAGGATCGCAATCGGATGACGAACTCTCGGAGCGACCTAACCCCGAGTCTGATGCTCTAAGCGGTGACGCGAACCAGGTTACCAGAGCTCCGCCTCCGCCTCCACCCGCAGCCGCCGGCGCGCCGCCGCCAATTCCAACATCACCACGCCCGTCAGTGGACAGTCGCGCATCCTATATTGAGCAAACCCCTCCCCGTGAGACCAGCAAACGGAGCAGCAGGCCGCCACCGCCGGTTCCGGGATCCCCCCCAGCCCTCCCGCCTGTTCAGTCAAGACCACCCCCCCCACCTCCTTCAGCTGCCCCGCCGCTCCGGCGAGTCTCGACTGGCGATTCCAGGCCTCCGCCGCCAATCCCCGCCGGGCGTAGGAATAGCGACGATGGCGAGGACGAGGAGATCACCGAGTATGAGGGCGACTATGATACGGACATCGCGTCCTCGGTTCCTCACAAGGATGCGCTCAAAGCGCACCAGCGTGAGTCGAGCTTTGAGGATGTCATCTCCCCAAAGTCCCCAACGACGGCAGCTCCTCCCCCTCCCATTCCCACCGCATCGCCCCCGAGAGCAGGCCCACCCCCTATCCCGAGCCAACCTCCCCCGGAGACCCGAAAATCGGTGGATATGCCTAGAATGGCTCCGCCGCCTCCCCCACCTGGCCAAGGAGACGCCTCGGTATGACGATGATTACGACCCCTACAACTACACCTCATCCTCGCAGGCTCCCCCAACAATACCCTCGTACCCGATGCCATCGCCCTCTCCGTACACGAGGCAGCAAGAGGAAATGTTTACTCAGGAGGCACCATACGGTCAGACCCCAAGGTCTCCACCCCCTCCTCCGCCTTCCGGTCGGGCACCGGCACGGCAGTCAGTCGACCTCCCACGCCCCGGAGTTAGCCGCCGGTCTGTGGATGTTACGCGCCCGTCGATGGAATCAGGCTTCGTTGCTAATGACATCGACCTAGCCAGCCAGTCGGCCTGGTGGCTGCAACAGAACGGTCTTCCTCCTCAGCTCCATGGACGTAAAGATATCTTCTTCGAGTCCGAAGAGTCGAGCTCTGCCGACCCACACAAAGGCGGCAAGACCATCATTACTCGTGACATCTACGTTCTATTTCAAGACTACTCCCAGTCCGTCATCACTGTCCGCTTCAACCCGCAAGACCCCTCCGACGTCCAACTCGAACAGCGCCATGAACCGCCTCCGCGTGCCCTGCGCCAAGATCAGCTTGAACAAAGCTACGACCGTTTCGGCCGCGCCATCGGCGAGGCTGTCGCCTCCAAGAAGGACACCGTCATTGGCGACGGCACCCCACAGGCGCTCATCTACGAGCTCCTCCGCCCTTTCAAGGACGCCCTCCTCCCCGTCGGCACGCGCGCGTACGGGGCCCTCGTCTACAGCAACCTGGCCAACGCGAGCACGACGCAGAACGACGAGATCCGGCCCGGCGACATTGTCAGCATCCGCAACGCCAAGTTCCAGGGCAAGCACGGCGCGATGCACGCCAAGTACTCGATGGAGGTCGGCAAGCCAGACCACGTCGCCGTCGTCTCGGAGTGGGACGGCACCAAGAAGAAGGTGCGCGCCTGGGAGCAGGGCCGCGAGAGCAAGAAGGTCAAGGTCGAGTCCTTCAAGCTCGACGACCTTCGCTCCGGCGAGGTCAAGATCTGGCGTGTCATGCCCCGGAGCTGGATCGGTTGGGAGTCGGGCGCCGGTGGTGCTGGCGGTGGCGCTGGTGCTGGCGGCGGAGCTGGGAACTAGGAGGCCCTGATGGGGTTGCAGATGAGGGATATGAGGGGACTTGGGGTCGCGGGGGACATGGTTGGTGTGTTAGTTAGGATTGCGATGGGGGTTGGCGAGGGGTACCCTTGAAGTTTAGTTTGGGCGGTAGTGTGTGTGTGTGTGTGTGTGTGTGTGTGTGTGACAGGGTTGAGTTGGGTTGGGTTGGCTGGAGTCTTTTCGTCAGCAGACCGAAACATGAGCAGTGAAGAGCAGAGCAGTGCAGAGCAGACATCCGCAGTTGAGTCAAGGGTTTTCTTTTGACCATACATACACCGACCGCGCTCGACAACAGGGCTTGTTTTATTTACTAGTTAGTTGTTTGCATTACCTTGTGGTTCCTTGGTGTTTAATCCGATCGGCTGTTGTAGTCATCATGAGTGGTGTTGCTTACTAAGGTACCTATTGGAATTGGGGAGATGTCGGCCTTTTTTGAGAAGGAAACTTCGGTTCAATATTCTTCTCTCGTCGTGCCCGACGGTTACTCCCTACTCTCCATGTTTCCAATAGATTCAGGGGTTTCTTACAAGGAGATGTTAAAAAGAACAATCAGTCCCAACGATCACGGTACGAAATTGGAGTTTTAGATGTCATTTTCTGAGCTATAGAAGGCGTTCTTGGTATTGGTGCAGCAGTTCATCTTCTCGTTTCCTATAATCCCGCGGCAGTTCGTTGGTTTTGGTGTTTTACGTGGGTTGAGTGAGTGCCGTATGACGGGGCCATATTGGTCACAACATGGCTTTCTGGTGCCTTTGGCCAGCAAATAAACTCCATAGGGATTACTCCTATTCCAAAGCCTCTTGATGAATGTATCATATGACCATGTCAATCCAAACCAAATGCTATCCTCAATCTAAGGTATCTCCTAAAACACACTGAAATATCTGACACCGTTTTTCCATCCCCTACATTCACCAAACAGCCCATCACCGCTCTTCAAGCTCGAGCCTCATTATGAGTCAAAACAGCGGCACTGGAAGAGTGGGACAGGGCCAGCAATGCAAGCTGCAAGTTTGGGCAGACAGGGTCTCCTGCATGGATGCCCGTCCCGCATACATGCAGCCCAACATCTGCAGGGAGAATTACAGATGCAACACTGCATTCCTACATGCATATGTGCACATACATACATACATAGATACACTTGCTCCTTAGTTACCAAACAAGCCCTTACCTAATCCCCGCTTCCGGTAGATGACCACCCGCCATCACCTCCATCACTGCCACCAACGAGGGATTTAAACCAGGACAGAGCTGACGACTCTATCACCAGAGCAACAAACCCCAATACCCAGATCTACAGTCTGGAAAAGGAAACCCCACGCACGTGGATGATATCCCTGACGGGATAGGACAGAGCCAGGAGCGAGAGGAGGGAAAATCACGGCGCAGCGGCCGCGGGATGGTGAGCTGCTGCGGCTGTATGCAAGCACCATTACCCCATCTCGTAGGCATGTATTATGTGTGTATGCACTGCCCGCGCTCGACGTGTACATATTCGCACATCCATACAATACAGTTTGTACATACCACATACCGGTGGCCTCCTCCCCCTTTCCCCCCAAAGGCGGTATCAGCCCGGCATGCGCAGGCCTAGAGACATGAAATGACATGAACCTGATATAGTATGCGCTCGAGGCGGTTGTTGATCTGCGAGCGAGTAGGTTGGTTGCTTCACTACCCCCGTCTCCTCCTCCTCCCTCCCGCGTGCACGGGTTCGACATCCCGGTTGACGCGGCCTCAATGGGGGCCGGGGACGGATCGCGGGGTGATAGGCGCCATTGGTAGCACGATAAGTGAGACAATTGAGTGCAATAAGAGCCGAGCTTGCTTCCCTTCGCTGTACTTGCGGGGATCTAGATGTTGTCTTTTTGGCTCGATCTAGGTTTAGCTCCCGCCTTTGCGGCAAGTCGGCGTTGGCATAGCCCCTGAAATTGACCCGTAGCGTGGATGCATCGTTGTTGTCTGCCCGTGGGTTCTTGTGCCGATGAGCGTGGATTCTCTTGGGTTGCCATGTGACATGGCAGTGCTGAGGACAGCACAAGGCCCGAATAGCGTTGAAGTTGCATAAATAGCTTCCATAGTTTTTCCGGTCTACGTGGCCATCAACTGTTTTTGGCCTTGAACGATGCGTTTCGGGTGTCAGAGAGAGGAGAAACATTCGATGATCTGGCACCTTGATGTCCAACCCTTGCCATCCAACCTCCCCCGGGGGGGCGGAAGGTCACAACAAGTCCCTAGAACCCTCTCCCACATTGATATCTGATGGCCCCGTTGCGCGGATACTTTGTCTGCGGCGTGCATGTCTCTCTCATCCCTCATCGGGGGCTATTGACTGATCGCCTTCGATTCACGGGGCTGACTGGCCCAGGCTGCATGTTAGACAAATGATGGGGGTCAGTTCTGAGCCAACAATGGGCTTTCTTGTCTACGAGTCACGCAACACAAGGCCAATCGTCTTCAAGCACTACCCGTCGATGAAACTTCGGGGCCCAATAGGAGAAGTCGCGCATGCAGCAGATCCGTTTGGTCGTTCATCAGAGAGACGGCTGCGGAGGTTGTGCTCAACGGCCGACCCGCGTGGAGGCTGGGCCTAGCCGTCTGCTACCAGTCGACCGAGACAACGACCGAGCTGAGGCACGCGAGGTCTTGATGTCATGCATCTCCCCCGCGCTTCGTCAAAAAAGGGAAAGTAGTGGGTGGCAGTGGCTGTGGCTAGACAAAAGAGACCACCAACTTTCGAATCAGGGGTTGCCAATTCATGGATATTGCTACGCCATGTAGCAGTCGGATGCCCCGAACGACTTTACTTCTCCTGCCCTAAGAAAGGCCACCCTCGATAGGCGCGCTCTCCGGCAGCAAACTCGTTGCTTCGTCCAGTCTAGATCCGCCTTACTGGTGATAGGTGAGAGCATCCGTCTAGGACAAGTGAGGCGCTGAGGGGTGGAAACCACCTCATCCTCTAGGGAGAGGTTGACTCTTGTGAAGTGGAGAAGCGCGTTTTACGGATGGTGCCCTTTCAACCACCAAGCTACTAGTGTTCTCAACCACAGCGAGATCAACACAATAGTGTTTCTTGCCATCTCGTGTATCCGAGATGCCAGGCCGTCGAGAGCCGGGTTTTTTTTTAACCGCAGATCCCTTGTTTTTGGTGGTGTTGCTCGCAATAGGCCAAGGGCTCTTTATTTCGCTGGTCCGGGCAAAACCTGCATATCGGTGGGTAGAGCGATGTTGTATTACTGAGTGCCATGATAAGGCCGTGTGGGTCAAAGGAGCCGTAGAGAAACGTATCTCATCGCCACCGGGCCCAAACCTGATCAAGCCCCGACGTCTTCCTAAACGCCCTGGTGAGTTGCAGAAGCTGGCTGGATGGACTGCAGATCAAGAACCGGACGCAATCAACATCAGGGGCACCAGCTCTTTGACGCCGATGGGGATGACCCGGCTGGCTGTTGGAACACGACCCGACCTCCGATCCGGAGTGGTCTCCAACCCGTCACGAGCGAGGGGCGGGTTCACGAGCTTCGGACAAGAGGGTCACCTGAGCGACCGCGGATGAGGACGCAAGGTTCGGGTCTTGACAACCGCTTATCAACCGAGGGCGGAGGGGATCAGCCTGCCGGGTTACAAAAAAAAGAGATCGCCCCCTTAATTCGATAGCTGGTGGTCGGAAGCTTGACACGGGGGAGGTCGGTTTTGAGGCATGAAGTTTCGACGCCCAAGCCGACGGAGCTTGCCCCGTATATCTGGATGCCTCACCGTGGTGGCTAAGTGCCAGAGCAAAACCAACAAGCCACGGAGTCCTTGTCAATAGCCCCCCAGGAGCTCAAGACAACTGTCCCGGGTGAATGGTGAGAAAAGCTGGACACGTGCTGGAGTGCTGGGATGAGGTTGTAGTCCGAACTGTCAGCGAATGAGCGCTTGACACAAGTCAACATTGCATGGCTGCGCAGGAATGGTTGCAGTAGCGAACAGCTCGTCTTCTCAATCTGGGAAACCCGCAATCTGTGCCAAGGGCCAAACTTTCGACTAGATGCGAATTTCGATTGGGCCGAGGAGTCCTCTGAGCGAAATCGGCTCGAGGTTGGGCTTGGGCAGAATCTGCCGTCGCGAGGCAAGGCGAGACCTTCACAAGTGTATCCTTGCAACCTGGGTAGGGGAACCCGCCAGCAACAAGGAGAACTTGCCTTGACGGCCGTTGACTTTGGCCACGCGTTTCGGTCCCTTGCTCGAGTTTGCGCTTCCCCGAATCGCAACAAGCGCTAGGAAGCGTCAAGGGTTAGGAGGTTGGAATGGTTCAACGGGGGCTCGATCAAGATCGATGTCGATTGGACAAGAGAGCTGCACCTGGCCAGCCTTCCCCACGATCTGTTTGCGACCAATGATCTCGCTAAGCGCGAGCAGCCTCAGGGGAGGAATGCTTGTGGGTCGCGTTGGGCATCTGGGCATGGACGCAGCAAGTGGAAAGAGGATTTTCGAATTGACGGCCCATACCGCTGACCGGATTGCCACGTACTGTGTCTGCACTGCGGTAAGCAGGGATGGCCTGCGGACGCCCTGCATTTTCTGTGGCCCGAGAAAGCACTTTCAGTGACTCGGGGGGATGTCCCAAGACTCGGCCGGCGACTGAGCTATGCGTGGTCAGCGACGTCGAGGAACTCGTCGGCGCCGGTAGATGACATGGTGGTGACAGCGCTACCCACGACATTCCAAAAACACTCAAAACCGAGAACCCGAGCGGCCGCGGCAGTTTTGCCGGGGGCCGAGGTATGGTTACTTTTTGTTAAGAATAGAATGTTGATTTGGCGACACCGAGACAAGCCACCGTCGCTGTCGCGTGTTGTTCAATGCGAGGACTAAGCTAATGTTCAGGTGTTGGCGGAAGATCCGAGTCACGGTGGCTCGATGGCGGCCCTGACAAACAAACACAGAAGAGATTTTCCAACGGCCAGCGCCACCTCACATGTTCTTTCAGCAGGTGTCAGATGCCCATCAACGGGCGCTCCGTGCCGAGAACGGAAGAACCCACCCACGCCGGAAATCAAGAACAGCCCGGCCGCGGAAGGTGCCAGTAGGATGTTAATAATTTTTGGTGGGCTCACCACAAAGCCCCAGCCGCAAGTGTGGCAACCCACACAATCTGAAATGGCATGTTCCCCCATTGTTAGTTTTGGCTGCCCTTCGCCCCCCACGGGTGGAGTGACTTTTGACAGGAGCGACTGGAACAAAAAAAAAGCCAACCACCCTACGATTTCCCAATCAGGCGAAGCGATGGGACCACCGACCAATCATAACTGCGTTGCCTGGCCCGAATTTTTAACGAATGGCTGAGACCGGGCGGTCTCGGAAACCTTTGCGATTCTGCGCTGTCCACTGAAAAAGCGCGCGCAACTGTCACTCGAGGCGTGAATGGCCGGTCCCATTGAATCAACCCCTCCCTTTTCAAGGGTCTCGTCCCACGGCGCATTCGATGGGGTCAACGCCATGCCCGAGACTTGCGGGGGACGGGAGCGGCTCGATCGCGGTGGCGTGTAGGTACGGTGTGGTATGATGGATGTACTTGTGTACTTCTGTACCGGGTTATTGTCTTGAATTGAACGGCTGAACCCTTCAAACACCAGATCCCGCGTGGACAATCAGCGAAACTATCACCCCCCAACCGTTGTTGTTGCATCCGCGGATGGACCACTTGGCTCCTGCGACCTGTCAATTGCCAGCCAAGAAACACAACAGTCTTGGTCATCGACCCTGCCACTGCATCCCACCTGTTCACACATTCTGGGGACGCTCACTTGTCACGACGCCAGACGCCAGCAAACTCCCCGCGTTTAATGCCCGACTCCAACCCGACACCTGCGACCTCGACAACGCACAAGCCTTGCACGGCAGCCCTGACACGACCTCGCAGTGCTCGGCACCCCATGCCGGACCTCTCTCCCCAGTCGCCAATCGCTGAACACTCTTGGGATCTCACTGGCCTGCCACTCAAACCCCACGTCACCCCCCCCCCGCAGACCCCGGCTTGAACGCATTTGACACACACTCTCTCTATAAACACCATCAGGGCGCCCCATCATCCTCCCACTCAGATCGGGAACCCTTTCTCCCCACAGTAACCTACGGAAACCCTACAACTGCCCCCAAAGCAGCAAACCCTCACACACATAGCCCAAGATGGCAGCTTCATATCCTAGGAGACAACCTTCAAGTCAATCCTCCTCCAGCCATGACTCGCGCAGCCGGAGGAGTAACGACTCGTACACATCACACTCCACAGCACCCACCTCGCTTTACTCTTCACCATGCCCCTCAGACCTGAAGGACTCGCCGTCATCGACAGACACCGGAGCTTATGCCGGCACCAAGTACCGCCAGAACGTCTACGACTCGCGCGACGATGTCAGCCCCGCCACCTCGCTCTACCCGCGCTCGTCGGTCGAAACCTATGCCTCGACCACGGCCTCTAGCGAAGATGTGGAAGCTATGTTCGCCGACGAGGTTGCCGACTATGAGTGCGGCGCCATCCCACCGTTGCCCATCTACCGCCGCGAGGTCGTCGAGCCCAACGTCCGCGCATCGACCCCCCAGGACTTCGCCAAGCTCTTCCCCTCGCTTAACCGCCTTACCATTCGACATGACGAGTTTACTTCGGACGGAAACATGAACTTGCGCATCGACACGGTGGTGACGGGACGGAGGAGGACCGCGATCCAGCTCTTCCACTTGCGCATGTACGACTTGGGGAAGCGGGAGTTCTCACTGCGGAGGTATTCGCGGGATTCTGGTCGGGAGGTCTGCAACTCAAAGCGCAAGTTCACCGAGCCTGCCGCAGCGAGGCCCAAGACGGCGGACGGGAAGCCAACGCTGAAGCGGACCATGTCGACCGCCCTCAAGACGCTCGGTGGGGGGAAGCCGGTCTTGCGCCGCGCCAAATCGGCCATGACGTCGCCGAGCCGCCCCAGCACGGGCTACTCGACCAGCGAGGGCGATGAAGACTTGTTCCACGACGGGAGCAACCAGTCTCGCCTATCGCTCGACAGCCGACTGGGCAAGGGCAAGGCCCAGCGACCGGTGCCGACCAACACCATCAAGCTCGAATTCAGTAACTATGCCCGCGTCGATGTCAACCGCCGCGGAGGCAAGGGCAACAAGCGCTACGAGTTCGAGTGGTGGGGTCACCGGTATAGCTGGAAGCGCTCTGTCGACAAGCAGCTGGGTCTGGTGTCGTTCCACCTGGTGCGAGACGGGAATGCCGGCGCGCCGGTCGCACACATCGTTCCCGAGACAAGGTCGCCGACCCAGGTTGTCGCCGACGACAGTGCCGGCGGATGGGTTCCCCCTTGTTTCATGTGGATCGCCGACGAAGCAATCGTCGATGCTGTCACGGATGTTGCTGAGTAAGCAGACCAATTTTTTTCCGCCTTTGGGTACCCTAAGCTAACCTCCTATTTAGTGTGATCATGGCAACCGGACTCATGACGCTTGTCGACGACTGCATCAAAGAGCGGTGGCAGACTAAGAAGGCTCACCGCATCCCGATGCCGTCGACCTTCAAGTCGGTCAACTTCGATGCTGTCCGCCCCAAGGCCATCATGCAGCACGTCTTCGGCCGCCGGAACTCGAACGACCACCAGCGCCCCTCGCCCCCCTCCAGCCCACTCCGGCACGCGAATCCCGCCGCGGCGCAATAAAGCCCGCATCAATTCCCACCGCTCCGATACCCCCGGCATTCGGCAGAGGCAATGACGTCGGGGCTTCACCGACAGTTCCCTTGGATCGGCGCCACGTGTTGCTGCCCGACCGGAGACCCACACCTTCGGAAGATGTCATGTCACCTCGGCCGAAGGTGGTTGGGTTGACGAGGATACCCTTGTCCTTCTTTGCCCATTGTCCCGCCGTTTTTCATTTTTGCCTTACTCTGTTCACCACCTTGGAGCGATACGCGCACAAAGCTCGATATCCTTGTATTAAAAGTGACTTTGGCCTTTTTTTTTTGCTTTTTTTTGGTCTCCACTTTTCATCTTCATTTTCCTTATTCGTCTAACGGCATCTGGGCACGGCGTTGTGATTTACAGACTTCGACAAAAGAATATCATGGATAACTAGCACTTGATTAGGGGTTGGCTTGGTTGGTCCGGTCAGATAGGAGCATTGGGTGGTTGCATGGGACGGTGTGATGAGGAGTTGAGTTTGTCTTTTTTTTTTTTTTTTTTTTTTTTTTGGGTTGCTTTTCCTTGGTTCGGTTTCATCTCTCAGTTTGTCAACGGATTATCATCAGGCCGGAACAGGACGGACATTTGTGCTGCGCCATCACAGCATTTACCTCGGAGTGTGGCCTTGACGGGAACGGTATTTGGATGAAGGAACGCAGTTCTACCACGACGGGACGAACGTGTATTGGATAATGTAGTTACGCAGAGCATCGCACCCACCGCGCTCGCTCCTCTCTCTCGCTCATACTCATCCGCCCTTCCTTCGAACTAGGAGAGTGGGATGGATGACATGGCACGACATAGCAGACTTACAAACAATCTCTTTTGTCAAATCATTATCATACCTAGCTTTGTTTTATACCAATGGCTATGAAAAGAAAAGAAAAGAAACCAACCAACTTGAACCATATCAGTTCCCAATCCGTGCCAGTCCCGAACACCTTCCTCCCCAAGCGACACCACCTCCACGACCCCCGAGACCGTACGACACGCTACGGTACGCACGCATGCACTACAATGGCCCGTGCTACTTACCATTCGGGGGAGGCAACCTGGGATACTCATCCGAAGGGTTGTTACGCCGAATGCGGGGGAAGCAGCAGCAGCAGCAGCACCAGATGTGATACCATCGTGTCCCACAGCAGGGTTCCCGTTCACCATTGTACCCCAAGAAACATGAAGGGCAATCCCAGATTGTAAGATAAGCCGGTAAATTCGAGTCTACCTGCTGTCATTGCGTTATCAGGCTTTTATGTGCTATGTATATGTAGCCTTTGTGTGTCCACGGTTGATGGGCTTAGGGAGAATCCGGTTGGCGGCAACGGAATTTGGCCAGGGGAGTCATTCCCACATGCAGGCTGATGAGATCGCTAGTTACCTAGCAACAGAGTTTCTCGGCAAAGAGAAATGTTTGTGAGAATTGGAGAGCAATCACTTCGGAAGACACACAATCACTCATGTTCCCTCGCACAGCTTAAGCCTCAGCCCAACTCCGGGACCGAGGAGGCGTACCGACGGGCTGAGTGTACAGGAACACACAAGACCCCTCACTTACAATGGTATAGAGAGAGAATAGGCGTAGCTCCCAAACAGATCTATTGTCTAAGGTAAAAAAAAAGCCCGTGTCAGGCGCCCAAACACCACATCATTCACACACACATTAAAAGTTTCTCGTAAACCGAGCATATCGCTCTCATGCTCTGAAAATCAAGCTGCCACCCCTGTCCCAAGTGCCAAACATCGTCATTCACCTTTACAGACTCCCGTTATCCCCGTTGACCCCGTTCGCATCGCCAGCCCCGTTCGTCATGGCCGCGGTCAGCGCGCTGTTGTCGTCCTGATACTTCTCCCAATTGGCCAAGACATGACCGATCTTGGGAGAGTTGGTGAGGCGGTAGACGTCTTCGAAGTACTCTTTAGTAATCGCAAACGGCCTGGCCGTCACGTTGGGGATGTATTTTCCAATCAGCTTGGCCGGGTCGATCGTTGTCTTGTTGATCTTCTTGAGCAAGAAGCTTCGGAAAGGCTTGACACCGGAGCGAAGGAAGGTCGAATGGAACGGCACGTCGATGCCCTTGAGGGGAATGGTGGCGAAGCCGCGCTGTAGCTCCAGGGGCGTCGGCTTGGCCTCGGTCTCCTGGGCACACGCCTTGATGATCTCGACGAGCTTTTCCCTGACCATTTCCGGCTGGATTTCCTTGCGCATTTGTTCGATGTCGATCTTCATGGCCTTGAGGTAGTTGGTAACACCAGTCAAGGTGTCGAGAGCCCGGAGGTCGCCGGCGCAGACGTACTGCATGTTGGCGATGTTGAAGTTGACAATCTCAAGAAGCCAGCCAGTGGTCTCAGAAACGTTGTTCACCACGAACCGCAGGGCTTCCTCGTTGAACGTCTTGTTGATACGGCTAGGGTTGACCGCGCACATGCTGTAGTTGGACCGGCCCGATGCGTCACGCTCGACGGCAACCTGCATTGTCAAGCCACGGTAGAAGACGACCGACACCAACGACTCAATCGGCATGACATCAGCAAGGGCTGCCAGAGCCGAGTACTCGCCAAGAGAGTGACCAGCGAATGTGCTATCACGGGGGACAAGCCCCTTGGCCTTCATGTCCTCGAAACTGGCCTTCTCCATCAGCGTCAAGGCGGGCTGGGTGAATTGAGTGGCCGAAAGCAGGCCAGTGGGGGAGCGGTAAGTGTAGGACTGGGTCTTCTCGTCGATTCCCTTGAAGATGCGCTCCGACTTGATCGAGCCATCACCTGCCACTGTCTCGAAGGTCATGGCCATGTAGTTCTGGCGAATGGCCTTGCCGCGCGGGCCGCCGAAGTGGATGGTCAGCTCCTTGGGGTTGTTGCGGACAATGTTGGTAATGGCGAAACCTTATCATGCGTGTCAGTACAAGAATGAGTGGCGGGAACAGAAGGTACTTACCATAAGTATCCATGAGGTACTTGTCAGCACGGTCCCAGACCTCCTTGGCGACGGGGCTACTATCGTAGAGGTCCATTCCCATCCCTTGCTCCTGGGAGCCTTGGCCGGTGAAGACGTAAGCAGTGACGGGCTGCTCGATTTCTGCCTCGCCGAGAAGCACTTTGTCCTCCGTCTCCTTGTTCACAGCCTCGACCTTGATGATCTTCCTACCAGCAACCATACCGACATGTTGCAGCTTGACGTCGATGTCGTCGTTGGGGAGGACCATGCCTGTGAGCGAAGCAGAGAAACTCCGCACTCGGCCGTTCTTGTTCTCCGCCGCCCACGTCTCTACTAGGCTGCGGATAGCGGCGCTGGAGTACATGCCGTGGGTAATGGTGCCGGGAAGGTTGGCGTACGCGGCGAAGACGCGAGAGACGTGGATGGGGTTGTAATCACCCGAGACACGGGCGTACGTCTCGTTTGATGCCGGTGCCCGAATCTGCAACCGAGTTTTTCCACCGAGGGGAATTGGATTCTCGAAGTTCACAGGCTGTTCAATTGACGACCCATGACGTTCCAGGTAATCCACAACCGGGTTACCGTGTGCATTGTCGGCCTCGTAATCCACACTAGCAACCTGGATAATCTCCTTGGTTGGCAGCTCGACGAGGACTTGACCGCGTGTCTCAACATGGCTGAAGACGGCCTTGTCCTTGAACCGGACCAAACTCTGAAGTCGGAAGATCAGAGTCTGGCCGAGCAAATCGATCTCTGGCGTGGCATCTTCATCAAAAGTAAACCAGGACTTGGAGCGAAGGACGGCAACGTCCTTGGTAGTCTCCAGGTGGACTTGCATGGGCGTTTCGAACTTGCGTTGGAACGTGTTCTCGAAGTCTGTGTAGACACCGCGGTAAAGGAACTGCGACGTAACTTCCATGACCGCCTTGCCGTCGCGAGTGATGGTGCCGCAGACTTCGACCATCTTCCCCGAGTCTTGGTTGATGACAGCATTGATCTGGGCCGTAGTAGAGACCTCATCACCCTTCTTCAGTGGTTCAGCTCCGGGCATCATGCGGAATTGGTTGGAGAGGTGGACGAGCTTGAGGAGGTCGCCGTCAATGGTGCGCGGGAAAATCGGCTTCGTGATGGCCTTCCAGCCCACCACGATAGCAAAGTCCATGGGTGCATACATGGTCTTTTCCGGGCGATCGACGAAGGCTTCGCCAGTGTTGCCCACGGCGTGGACGAACTCGTTGATGGCCTCGCTGGTAATGGTAGTCTTGCCGCCATCAAACTGGCTGGTCACAGAAGCATTGAGATCAAGCTCCTCGTCACCGAACCACGCACGCCAGTAGAACTCCTTGATGCGATCATTGCGGCCGTCCATGACTTCGTGAATGGGCGCATAGCCGGCCTCCGGGCGGTAGATGAAACGCAACGGGAGGGCGACAGGTTTCCCAAGGGCGGTGGTATCCTTGATCATGCTGACGGCGATCTCGTTCTTGCCCACCAGCTTGACCTCGATCACGTCCACATACCGATTGTGGCGCGGCTGTTCCTTGACCACAATGACCGTCTGGGCAGGGTCGTTGGGGTGGAGAATCTCGACGAAGAGACCCCGAGTCGGCGCGAAGATCTGCTTAATCGGGTTGGTCTGGTACTTTTGGCCCTGGACGATGACATCGGATTGGAGGAGGGCATAGCGCCAGTTCTGACTCGAGCCGGCGAGAAGTGAGATCCACTCCTCAAGCGACGGCAACTGAGTCGAAGGAGAAGAGGACAATCGGTAGGTGTTCTTGTGGGCATCCACGGAGACGGTGAGGCCCTCGACATCCAAGGGGATCTCTGCCTCGATGAGCTTGCCGCCGAAGTACTCGACGGTAGGGATCTTGGAGGCATCATTGCCGTACAGGTCCCGAGTCAGACCCTCGATGTGGCCGTGATGGATACCGTCGAGAATCTCTTTGATGGGCTCATCCACCTTGGTCGAGTGCTTTGCGGCCATGGGTCCCTGGAGAATGCAAGTTCTGCCGACATCTTTGCCAATGACGGCGCCAAGGTCCTCCGACTGCCACAGCGAGTCTTTCTTGAAGAAGAACTCAAAGTTCTCATCTAGCGCGGGCACAAACGTCACCGGCTTTTGGCCACGTCGCTGACAGAGCAGCAGGAAGTGTTGCACATCTTGGGCGTTGATGATCTGAGTCTCCGCTTCAGGGTAATGCGACAGAATGCGCTCGATGGCAGAACAGGGCTCGTCTAGGTCCTTGGGGTGTTGGAGAGCGGAGAATTGTCCGGAGGCGGTGGTGAACCGCTCCTCCACGCGGTGTATGAAGTCGACCGTGAGCTTCTGGAAAGACGGGTCGATCCATCGAGCTTCGTCCTTTACGTACAGAAGCTCTACCATACGGCGGACGACCTCGCCGTACGTCATGTCCTCCAGATCCACAGCCTGGCCTTCCTTGTTCTGCCCGAACCAGACTTTCTGGAAGTCGGCATTGAGCTTCCGGATGATGTGGTCGCGATTCTTCTTCAGCTCGGGAACCCGCTTCTCCTTGGGTAGGCTGAAAATCTTTTGGTCCATTTCGGCCCAGAAGAGCACACCACGCGTGGCGAGCTTGTGGATGGGCTCACCCATTTCAGACCGCACGGTGATGACTCCACCGGCAGCGCCCTTGTAGGTCTTCTCCCACTCGCCATCGTCAAGGCCGGGAGCGTCCACAATGGCTTGCTTGGCGGCCCTGCTGGTGTGGGCCTCTTTGGCGACCATCATGCGGCTGCCAAACAAGCAGCCGTCATAAGGCATCGGAGGGTACCCGTACTGGGTGGACCACGCACCGGTCAGGTAGGGATATGTGTCGTCGGCGCCGCCAAAGCCACTGCCAGCAACGAGGATGATGTTCTCGTGACGACGGATGCGGCCGTACATGGCAAGAATGGGTGAGTGGAAGTCTTCGAACGAGTGGTGGCCACCACCTCTGCCACCGGTCCATTGGAGGATGACGGGGAACGTCGGGTTGGCCTTGGCGATGTTGATTACAGCCTGGATGGCCTCGCTCGAGCCAGGTTTGAAGGAAATGTGCTTTAGACCCAGTGTTTCGATGTATTCTTGAGCAACCTCAATAGACGGGACGCCGGCACCAATGGTCAGACCCTCAATTGGCACGCCCTCCGAGCGGAGTCTCCCAAGAAGCGGGATCTGCCACCCCATGGCACGGGGATTGACATAGATGAGGTTGATGCTGATTCCACGGCCAGGAGGGATCGCCTTCTCAATCTTGGAGATGGCTGCTGTCATTGTCTTGGCGTTGTAATATCCGCCGCCTGCCAGCTCAATTTGGTAGCCAGCGTTCATGGCGGCAGCCACGAAGTCCCAGGGTACAGTGGCTGGGGTCATGCCGGCAACTAGGAGTGGCGGCAGACCGAGCAGCCTGCTCATCTTAGTGTCGACATACGTCTGGCCGCTCGACGTCTTGACGAGCTTGGGACCGTATTCCTTCACCCAGTCAACCGCGTACTTGACGGCATGCTCCTCGTCGCGGTCGAAGAGCTCCGACTTGTAGCCGACCTCGGTCACGGTTCCATTTACCGTCCCAGCTAGAATGACACGCACGCCGGTGCCGTCCTTGTTTCTGCTCGTCAGCACACCGAGACCCGAGATGCCTCCCGGACCGAAGTCCAAGATGTGTGTGGCTCCGGGGAAAACGGTGGCCTTCTCCCAGTGGACCGGGTCGCTTGTGATCATGCGAACCAACGCAGGCACAATATTTCCAGTCACCTCCTCGCGGATATCTTTGCCAGTGTTCGTGTCGTAGACGGGGATGCCCAGACGCTTGACATCAATTTCGACATCCTTCAAGTCCTCGGCGACCAGCGCGGTTGCCTTGGCGAGATACTTGCTGTGGAAGGGGGCAGTGATGGGGAGGAACCGGTTCACAAAGCGAACCTTGCGTTCAGTGTGGGGGATCCGAGTCTGGTCCAGACCAGTGGCAGCCTTGACTTTTCGGAGCTGGGCGTTGAGGCCGCACAACGACCTCGGCGGGCCAGCGATGACCAGGTTTCGCGGGCTGTTGATGAGCGAAATCGAGATGTGCTGGTCATCAGGAAGGTACTGGTTCGTCTGGTTGATGTGCTTCTGGACTTCGGCCTGAGGAAGGTCGCGGATGCTCAGCATGGGAGTGGGGGTGCCCTCCCCGTTGTCGATAGAGTCCTGAAGCATGGATGGGCTCAGAGAAGTAATGGGGAAAGTCTGCTGGCTGCGGGCACCAATCCAGAAAAGGATGGTCAAGGCAGAGTTGGCAATCTCCTCGAACGACTCCCACGAGTCCGCGGCCGCCGTGATAGCGGCCAGCACAATGCCCTGGGAATGTCCCGTGGTCCCGCTGATTCTCTCTCGCAGAATGCCGGGGTGGAGGCCGAGGACCTTGCAGGTGATCTGATAATGGGCGAGCTGCACGAGACCGATCAGGGGGAAGCTGACCGGGGCCGACACCAAATAGTCAACGTCTGGTGTCGCATCCGGGCTGTGAAGCCAACCCATTACATCTAAACCTTTAGCGTAGAGCTTTTCCGCGCTCGGGTGGCTGGATAGGGTCTGAAGAAGTTCGGCTGATGACGCTACCAGCTCCCCGATAAAAGATGGGTAGGTAAGGTATAACTCGCGGAGTTCTTCGAAATACTCCTCGATGTTGCCCTGGCCGCCAAAAATATTGTAGAGCTTCGCATCTTCTTCATCGGCTGCCCGAAACAAGGCCGATTCGTGCGTCTTCATTGCGCGATTCGACGCCGAACGAGCAGCGAAGTAGCTGCGAATGACCTCCAACTTCTTCGCGTCAATGCCAGGGAGCGTTGCCACCAGGGCATGGACATCGTTGCCGCGAAGGAATGCCCGCTCGAACTCGTTGAGAATAAGTTTAAGCACTTCCTCGCCCGACCCTTGTACGTCGTCCTCGCCCTCAGCAACCTCATGCGCAACATAACCCATGTACCGGGCCACGAGCTCGGCCACCGACGAAGGTTCGTCATCTTGGGCTAGCTCATCGGTGGGTGCCGGTAGAGTTGCGACGAAGCCCTCCTTCAACCGGGAAGCATGAAAGTGGATGCCGGTAGGTATTAAAAAGGATGTCTCGAGAGAACCGTGGGAGAGAGTGAGGGGACGCAGTGAGGCCGACGACCGGGGCGTGACGGCACCCGTCTGCGGGCCTGTGCCGCTGCCGTTGTTGGGATACATTATTATGTATAGGGATGGGGTATCTTGAGAACCTGCGCTTCTTCCCTGCGAAATGTCAGTCGACTCATCCGCGGACTGATCGAGGGCATCGAATGGGCGGGGGAGGGGGAGGGGGTGCATACCAGTCGCACTGGTGGGAGAAATCAGCAGCAAACGGGGACAGAGCCACGGGCAGAAGTATGATATTTCTGCGAAAAATGACGGTACAGGCGACGTCTTGTGGAAGAAGCCAGTGGCATGAAGTGGAAGTGAAGTGAGGTCGTAAAATGAGAAACCTGCCCAAGGGAGAGAGTTGGGTTTGGAGTGTTCAGATAGAGGGAGAGGGGAGTTGCGGGCGTCGAGTGAGGGCAGGAAAGGAATGGACCAGGATGGGCGGTGGCACTTGCGGTGGGCGGTGATTGGATTGAACCCTGAAGCCGAGACCCGGTTTGGAGGGGGACAGGGGTACCTTATAACGGTGGTGTGGTTCTACTCAACACAAAAATTGCCCAAGTTCAAGGGCGAATCTTCCGGTGGCAGTTCCCTTCCTTGCTCGCCAAAATTTTTGGATCTTGTTGGGGAAGCGCGGTCGACACCGCGGCGGTCGCGGCGTGCATGTCCCGACCCCTGCCAGACCGAATACCCCTGGCCCGTGCCCATCGATATCTTGAGACGGTACCCAACCAACCTGAAGGGCAGAGCCCCACCTGTCAAAAAGGGCACTCCCAAAAAAGTACCGATACCTTTCTCAGGGGAGCGGGAGGTTCATCCAGAACCCCCCAATGGATCCCCGCCTCCCAGGAGCTCGGGCTCACGGAATGCAGGGGCAACGGCACTCATTGCCCTTGCGCCAACCTCAAGCCATCGGAACTTCAGACAATCGAGATATCTCAACTTCCTATGTAGATGTGCTGTGTGATTTCGCACAATGACCATCGTCTTAAACTGCACCGGGGGTGGCGATACCTACCTTCAATGACTACGTGTTCAACGCTGCATGCATGAATCAGGTGATAGATTCGAGCTTCAGGCTCCAAGGACGGATATCAGTCAACATCTGAAAGGCGGAGAGCCCTGCAACCGGGCGCCCGACAACGACCTGCATGGGGAGAACGGCGCGATGACAGCCCAACAAGAACTAACTGGTCTCCTAACCTGTACGTCCCCGCGTACGCAGTATGTTCCATTAGGTAGGCCCGGGAGTGGGAAAACCTGAGGGGTACGAAGTAGTGGGGTCGAGCATGACAACCCGGCACAACTGGGAATAATCTGTAACTAACTCCCGGTCGATGTCCCAAACCCAGGCGGTCCGCGATCCTCGGTGGCTTGCAGCAAACAACCTGGTAGTCTCGGGTATGCGCAACATCTCCGTCGATGTCCGATGATGGGCAGGATTAATAAACGCCTCCGTCGGCTTCGTTCGGCGAAGGAGAATAATCTCGAGTCTATCCTCCGGGTTGGGAAGGATCTAAAGTGGGGTCGTAGCAGCCGCCGCAACGTGTACCGCGACTTGGAGATCGGACGCCTCCAACCCAAGGAAGCTGTGGGGTAACGGCAGGCAATACGCTAAGCTGCTATGGGTTAGTCTGGGGGTTTGGTTGAGAAGCCAACCTGCAGACTGGACCAGCCGCGACAAGGGGGTGTTACCCAAAATTCATTCAACAGTTGCATCCTGACGACGCGGCGCCTTCCAATTTTTTGCTGTTGCCCCCCTTGGTGTGCGTGAGCGGAAGTTGAAGTCCACCGCTGCATTCCAGTCTTTAGGTTTTGTACCTTCTTTAGGTTTTGCGCCTTCCCAGCCCAAGTCCCCTCTCAGGACAACACAAACCCTTGCTTTCTTCTGAAGGGCCCCTCTTCCTCTCCCTCACTTTCCCCGGTCGCCATCTTCAAGTTTTGTTTCTTGCGGTGACTTCCTCCCTTTTTCTTGCGATACCCAAGATACCGCCAAAACCCACTAGACGGCCCTTCTTTACGGCCATCCACCTGCCTCGCTTGCCACTTTTTCTTTTCACCACCCAACATCCTAATTCACAAGCGACACCAAAATGCGTCCCGAAGTTGAGCAGGAGCTTGCTCACACGCTCCTTGTGGAGCTCCTTGCGTACCAATTCGCCTCGCCCGTGAGGTGGATCGAGACCCAAGATGTTTTTCTCGCAGAGCAAATGGCCGAGCGGATTGTCGAGGTCGGACCGGCAGACACGCTGGGTGTGATGGCCAAGCGGACCCTAGCCTCCAAGTACGAAGCCTACGATGCTGCCAAGTCGGTGCAAAGACAAATTCTCTGCTACAACAAGGACGCCAAAGAAATCTATTACGATGTCGACCCAGTCGAGGAGGAACCCGAGCCCACCGCACCCGAGGCGAGCTCCTCGCCGAGTGCTCCGGCAGCATCTGCTGCCGCCCCTGTTGCTGCGGCCGCTCCGGCACCGAGTGCGAGGCCTGCCGCCCAGGTCCCGGACGCTCCTGTTCAGGCAGTGGAGATTGTGCGGGCTTTGGTTGCCCAGAAACTCAAGAAGCCTCTCCAGGATATCCCCCTCAGCAAAGCAATCAAGGATTTGGTCGGCGGTAAGGGCGCACGCACCCCTCCTGGGTTTCGGGGGACCATGCTAATAACCTCTTTCCACAGGCAAGTCTACCCTTCAAAATGAAATCCTCGGCGATCTCGGCAAGGAGTTCGGTTCAACACCGGAGAAGCCCGAAGACACACCCCTCGACGAATTGGGCGCGGCGATGCAGGCTACCTTTGACGGGAACCTCGGCAAGACATCTCAGGGCCTCATTGCGCGCCTCATATCCTCCAAAATGCCAGGCGGCTTCAATATCACAACCGCGCGGAAGTACCTCGAAACAAGGTGGGGCCTGGCGTCGGGGCGGCAGGATGGTGTGCTCCTACTGGCCATCACCATGGAGCCGCCCGCCCGTCTCGGGTCAGATGGCGACGCAAAGGCGTTCCTCGACGACGTTTCTCAGAAGTACGCCTCCAATGCCGGCATCAGCCTCTCCACTGCCACCGCCGCTGGGCCGGCTGCAGGTGGTGGAGGTGGCATGATGATGGATCCCGCTGCGATCGAAGCCTTGACTAGCGACCAGAAGGCGTTGTTCAAGCAGCAGCTCGAGCTCATCGCGAGGTATCTCAAGGTAGACATCCGTGCTGGTGACAAGGCGTTCCAAGCCTCCCAGGAGTCTTCCAAGGTCCTGCAGTCTCAACTTGACTTGTGGATGGCCGAGCACGGCGACTTTTACGCTACCGGTATTGAGCCAGCATTTAGCTCCCTCAAGGCCCGCGTCTACGACTCGTCATGGAACTGGGCTCGCCAGGACGCCTTGAGCATGTACTTCGATATCATCTTTGGCCGGTTGCAAGCCGTTGACCGTGAAACCGTCAGCCAATGTATCCGACTCATGAACCGCTCAAACCCGACGCTGCTCGAGTTCATGCAGTACCACATTGACAATTGCCCGACTGAGCGCGGGGAAACCTACCAGCTGGCCAAGATGCTTGGTGCTCAGCTCATCGAAAACTGCAAGGATTCGCTCGGAGTCGAGCCCAAGTACAAGGACGTCGCAGTTCCCACCGGCCCCAAGACCACCATCGACGCCGACGGTAGCATGAGCTACGAGGAGGTTCCCAGAGCAAGCTGCCGGAAATTGGAGCACTATGTGCAACAGATGGCGGAAGGCGGAAAGATCTCGGAGTACGGCAATCGGACCAAGGTGCAGAACGATCTGTCCAAGATCTACAAGTTGATCAGGCAGCAGTACAAGTTCTCCAAGGGCTCGCAGCACGAGATCAAGAGCCTGTACAGCGACGTGATCCGCTCCCTCGGCATGAATGAGAGTCAGATCATCCCTAAGGAAAACGGCAGGCTCAACGGCCTATCTAAGAAGGGCAAGCCTAAGGGCAAGGTCGAAACCATTCCATTCCTCCACCTCCGCAAGAAGACGCAGCAAGGGTGGGACTTTGACAAGAAGCTCACCAACGTGTACCTTGACTGCCTCGAGGAAGCAGCTAAGGACGGTGTTACCTTCAGCGGCAAGTATGTGCTCATGACTGGTGCCGGTGTTGGTTCGATCGCGGCGGAGGTACTTCAGGGGCTCATCAGTGGCGGTGCCAAGGTGATCGTCACCACCAGCCGCTTTTCTCGTGAGGTGACCGAGTATTACCAGTCCATGTATGCTCGATTCGGCTCGCGCGGTTCTCAGCTCGTGGTCGTGCCTTGCAACCAGGGCAGCGTCCAAGACATCAATGCGCTGGTCGAGTACATTTACGATACCAAGGCCGGTCTTGGTTGGGACCTCGATTACGTTGTGCCTTTTGCTGCCATCTCTGAGCAGGGCCGACAGATCGACGGAATCGACTCCAAGTCTGAGTTGGCCCATCGTATCATGCTGACCAACCTTATCCGTCTTCTCGGGAATGTCAAGGCGCAGAAGGCCACTCGCGGCTTCGAGACACGGCCCGCCCAGGTCATCCTCCCGCTCTCGCCCAACCACGGGACCTTTGGCAGCGATGGCCTGTATTCCGAGTCGAAGCTCGGTCTGGAGACCCTGTTCAACCGCTGGGTTTCCGAGGACTGGGCCAACTACCTCACCATTTGCGGCGCCATCATCGGCTGGACTCGCGGGACGGGTCTGATGTCTGGCAACAACATCGTGGCTGAGGCCGTGGAGCGTTTCGGTGTCCGAACTTTCTCGCAGCAGGAAATGGCGTTCAATCTGCTCGGGCTCATGTCACCTACCATTGTCGACCTCTGCCAGAACGAGCCGGTCTTCGCGGACCTGAACGGTGGCCTGCAGTTCATCCCCAACCTCAACGAGACCATGACGAGGGAGCGCAAGTCGCTCACCGAGACAAGCGAGATTCGCCGCGCCGTCACCAAGGAAATCGCGGCAGAGACCAGGATCGTTAACGGCGAAGACTCGGATGATCCTTATAAGAAGAAGATCATCGAGCCCCGCGCCAACATCAAGTTCGACTTCCCGCCCGTTCCGGACTGGGAGTCCGAGATTGCGCCTCTGAACGAGAACCTTAAGGGCATGGTCGACCTCGAGAAGGTCGTTGTTGTCACTGGTTTTGCCGAGGTTGGGCCGTGGGGTAACTCCAGGACCAGGTGGGAGATGGAGGCTTACGGCGAGTTCTCGATCGAGGGCTGCATTGAGATGGCATGGGTCATGGGCCTGATCAAGAATCATAACGGGCCGATCAAGGGCAAGCCGTACTCTGGCTGGGTGGATGGCAAGACCGGCGAACCCGTTGACGACAAGGACGTGAAGCCCAAGTACGAAAAGTACATCCTAGAGCACTCGGGCATCCGTCTGATCGAGCCTGAGCTTTTCGACGGCTACGACCCCAATAAGAAGCAGCTGATGCACGAGGTTGTTATCGAGGAGGACCTGGACCCTTTCCAGGCCTCCAAGGATACGGCCGAGGAATTCAAGCGGGAGCACGGCGACAAGGTGGAAATCTTCGAGATTCCCGAAACCGGCGAGTACACCGTGCGCATGAAGAAGGGTGCTTCCCTCTGGATCCCCAAGGCGCTGCGGTTCGACCGCCTCGTTGCCGGCCAAATACCAACAGGATGGGATGCCAAGCGGTACGGCGTCCCTGACGACATCATCTCCCAGGTCGACCCCGTGGCTCTGTTTGTCCTGGTCTCCACTGTCGAGGCTCTGCTGTCGGCGGGTATCACCGACCCGTATGAGTTTTACAAGTATGTCCACGTCTCGGAGGTGGGCAACTGCGTGGGTTCCGGCATGGGTGGCGCGGCGGCCCTGCGTGGTATGCATCGTGACCGGTTCCTCGACAAGCCACTGCAGAACGACATCCTGCAGGAGTCATTCATCAACACGATGGCTGCCTGGGTCAACATGCTGCTCATTTCGTCGTCCGGTCCGATCAAGACGCCCGTCGGTGCTTGCGCCACGGCTGTCGAGTCAGTCGACATCGGCTACGAGACGATCATGGAGGGCAAGGCTCGCGTCTGCTTCGTTGGTGGTTTCGACGACTTTGGCGAGTGAGGGCTCTTACGAGTTCGCCAACATGAAGGCCACCAGTAACGCTGTGGACGAATTCGCCCATGGTCGGACGCCCAAGGAGATGTCAAGACCTACGACCACAACGAGGAACGGTTTCATGGAATCGCAGGGCTGCGGTGTCCAGGTCATCATGACTGCCAAGCTCGCATTGGACATGGGTGTTCCGATCTACGGCATCCTCGCCCTCACTACGACCGCGTCGGACAAGATTGGGCGCTCAGTTCCTGCGCCAGGCCAAGGTGTCCTCACGACCGCCCGCGAACACCGCGGCAAGTTTGCGTCGCCGCTGCTCGACATCAAGTACAGGCGGCGACAGATTGAACGCCGCACCAGGCAGATTGAGGAGGACAAGGAGGCCGATCTCGAGTACCTCGCCGCCGAGGCGGAAGCGCTCAAGGCCGAGGGTCGGCCGGAGACGGAAATCGCCGAGTATGTGGCGGCCCGCGCAAAGCACCTCGAGAAGGAGGTTGAGAGGCAGACCAAGGATGTGCTCCGCAGCTTCGGCAACAACTTCTGGAAGAGCGACCCGAGCATCGCTCCTCTACGCGGCGCTCTGGCCACCTGGGGCCTCACGATTGACGACCTCGGGGTTGCGTCTTTCCACGGGACGTCGACCAAGGCCAACGACAAGAACGAATCATCGGTCATTTGCCAGCAGCTTGCCCACCTGGGGCGCACCAAGGGCAACGCCGTCCTGGGTATCTTCCAGAAGTATCTCACCGGCCATCCCAAGGGCGCTGCCGGTGCCTGGATGATGAACGAGATGCTTGCAGGTGCTCAACACTGGCCTTGTTCCTGGTAACCGCAACGCCGACAACATCGATGAGGTGATGGAGAAGTTCGACTACATTGTTTACCCGAGCCGCAGCATCCCAGACAGACGGTGTCAAGGCGTTCTCGGTCACGTCGTTCGGTTTCGGCCAGAAGGGTGCCCAGGCGATCGGCGTCCACCCCCAAGTATCTCTTCGCCACGCTCGATAAGGAGACGTTCCACGAGTACCGGGTCAAGGTGGAGGCTCGGCAAAAGAAGGCCTACCGCTTCTCCCACAACGGCATGATCAACAATACGCTGTTCGTTGCCAAGGACAAATCGCCAGTACACGGACGAGCAGCTGAGCTCGGTGCTCCTCAACCCCGACGCGCGGGTCACGGTGGACAAGAAGACTGGGCAGCTCACATACCCTGACAACTTTATGAAGCTGTCGGAGAAGACGCAGACCCACTCGGAACGCAAGGCAACGCTGGAGTCGGTGCTCGGCCGGAGCGCGCGGCAACTCGAGAACATGAACACCCGAGTTGGGTTTGACGTCGAGGACATTTCCACCATCAACGTGGAGAACGACACGTTTCTAGAACGCAATTTCACGGCGGCGGAGATGCAGCACTGCATCGGCTCGACCACGGGCCGGCCGCCGCAGAAGGCGTTTGCCGGACGTTGGAGCGCCAAGGAGGCGGTCTTCAAGGCCCTGGGGACTTCTAGCCAAGGAGCTGGCGCGGCGATGAAGGATATTGAGATCCTGACGGATAAGAACGGGGCGCCATCAGTCAAGGTATGTGATTTTCTATCCAGGCGGGTCGAGTGTATGGGCGACTGACTGACTCTGCTCCAGCTGCACGGTGCCGCCCAAGAGGCTGCAGAGAAAGCGGGCGTCAAGAGCGTCAACGTCTCCATCTCATACACAGACAGCCACGCCGCCGCCATTGCGACGGCGCAGCTGTGAGATAGATGGCTTGTGGTTTTGTGGTTTGTGATATTTTGGAGCGAGATTTGGAATTTCATGGTTTAGACGGACGCGGCTTATGATCATGTTTGTAATTGGACGATGCACCGAGTTACGGCTTAGAAGAGTCACGCTTCGAGGCGCGCACGACTAATCACTGGGTGCGTTGTTACCCAAGTATGACGAATGTTGTCTGGGCGGAAGCAATTGTTTTACGTAGCACATTGGCCTCACACAGTGGCCCACCTGTCCTGTTGACACACCTGTTGCCCGACCCGACATGCATCATCTTTGTGAGACACTGGCCCAAAGCGCCGGGACCTGCGATGCTCAAATTTGTGACGGGGTTGTGTTCGCTGTGCATGACTCCCTGTCTCTCCATGCAGCCACGTGACGGTTCGGATAACTTCATTCCAAGTCAAAAAAAACGTAAAGCTTAATTAGACTGCCACCTTCGCACCCCCAGACCACTTCCCATGCAAGGGTCTATAACCCCGCCAAGACCAGGCCGGAATACGAAATCAGTGATTAGCAATAACTGCCTTCTGGAAGGCGGTGGTTGGGATCAATGTATGAGATGCAGCGGGAACAGTGTCAAGTCAGTTAGTTATTGCCCCTGATTTTTTATGGAGCTGCATAACTAACTACATAGTTAGCCACCTACCTAAATGGGATGAAAGACTGGCTGTGTGTGGATGGATGGGATGAGGTGGGATGGGATGCCAAGCGCAAGCCACCGAACCGACCCAGGCAGCCCAGTGACCGGGCGAGTCCGGGCTTGGCGGGGACAGGTCCGGCTCCCGGCGCTGGCCGAGCTCCGCCCTGCCAAGACGGACCCGCTTCGGTGGGCTTGGGCTGCGGGGCGCGGGGCGCGGGGCGCGCGGGAACGGTTCGGATTGGATGAGGTTGGGTATTGCGGGTTGGAGGTTAGAGGGGGGTGGTTCAGATAAGGAGTTGATTGACGTGATATCAACATCTGGCCGCTGTTTAAAGGACGTGTTGCTGTCTGCTTTGATCGGTTCTTGTCTCACTGTTCCTGCTTCCTTGGACAGTTGCTGGTTTTATTTGGCTGGTCGTTTCGGCTTTGTTTACGTAGACTGCTTTGACTGGCTGACTGGCTGCTCGGCGTGCGGTGGTCAGGTTTTGGTTGGGCTTCTGACCTTAGGGACTGGTGGGCTTCGAGGTGCGGCGAAGCGAAACTGGGTAGCAGGTACGTTGCGGCTTTCTCTTTGAACTTGTTCGAATGACCGTGACTGGCTCAACTAACAACTAACTCGAAGCGCAGGTGGTGTTATTCTTGGTCGCGAGTGCCCCTTCATTTGTTTTGTGCGCCTGGCTTGCGAGTTGCAACAGTGTGCGGTGTGGGTTTAAAAGGTTGCTCCCGGTGCTCATCAGCCTTGACTGCAGTTCAACTCCAACACACTTGCGTCGAATTGGTACTTTCCTGGAACATTGTCGGTTCGCATTACCCCGCAAAATTACAAAATGGCCACCAAAAACAAGCTGTTTCTCGGGTTGTTTATACACAGCAAGGCGCTGAACGAGCTGGAGTATCTGCACGACACAGCCGTGGGTGTGGATAAGGAAGGAAAGATTACTATCGTGGAGAGGGATTGCGATGAGAAGAAGGCGAGAGAGACGGTGCTTCCGCGGCTAGGGTGGAAGGACGCCGAGGTGGAGGTTGTCAAGGCGAAAGAGGGCCAGTTCTTCTTCCCCGGGTTTATTGGTAGGCCGCACTGAAGTCGTGACCTGGCACCGTCACTCAAAACCGGAGGCACTAACGTCACCCCCAGACACACATATCCACGCTCCGCAATACCCCAACGCCGGCATATTTGGCAACTCCACCCTCCTTGACTGGCTCGACACTTACACCTTCCCGCTCGAAGCCTCCCTCTCCGACCTCGCCAAGGCCCGCCGGGTCTACACCCGGGTTATCCACAAAACCCTCTCCCACGGCACCACCTGCGCGGCCTACTACGCCACCATCGACGTGCCGGCAACCAACCTCCTCGCCGACCTCTGTTACGCCCGCGGCCAGCGCGCCCTCATCGGCCGCGTGTGCATGAACGAGCCCTACACCTCACCCACCAACTACCGCGACGAGTCGGCCGAAGCCTCCCTCGCCGCCACGCGTGCTAGCATCGCACACATCCGCACCCTGGACCCAACCCACACGCTCATCCAACCCATCATCACGCCGCGCTTCGCCCCCAGCTGTACCTTCCCGCTGCTCGTCCAACTCGGCGCCCTGGCCGCTGAAACCGCCCTCCCCATCCAGACGCACATCTCAGAAAACCGCGCCGAGATCGCGCTCGTCAAGACCCTCTTCCCGCGGGCCGTCACGGGCGCTGCCGACGACAGCTACGCGGGGGTGTACGACGCGGCGGGCCTGCTGACGGGGCGCACGGTGCTGGCGCACGCGGTGCACCTGACGGCGGGCGAGGCGGCGCTGGTGGCGCGGCGCGGCGCCAAGGTCAGCCACTGCCCCGGCAGCAACACGGCGCTGGGCAGCGGCGCGGCGCGCGTGCGGCGCCTGCTCGACCGTGGCATCGTCTGCGGCCTCGGCACCGACGTCAGCGGCGGGTTTAGCCCCAGCGTGTTGGAGGCCGCGCGGGCCGCCGTCATGGTCAGTCGGCATGTGGTGTTTATGGGGGAGGCGGCGCCGGCGGGGGGTGTGGGTGAGGATAGGGAGAGGGAGAAGTTGAGTGTGGAGGAGGCGTTGTTTTTGGCGACGAGGGGCGGGGCGGAGGTGGTTGGGCTTGAGGAGCGGGTTGGCAGGTTTGCGGTCGGGATGGAATGGGATGCGCAGTTGGTTGGGCTCGGAGTGGTCGGGGAAGATGGTGATGCTGTTGGTGACGAGGACGGCGGCGATGTGGATGTCTTTGGCTGGGAGACCTGGCCGGATCGGGTGGCGAAGTGGGTGTATAATGGCGATGATAGGAACACGAAGATGGTGTGGGTGAAGGGGCGGCTGGTGCACGCACGGAAGTAAGGGGTTGTCGGTGGGGGCACTGATTTTGGGGAATGCCTGACTGGATTGGGCGGGATGGGGGTGGAGGGCAGACGGGTGTCAAAAGCAAGCTCCTGGCCACAGCCATTTCTCAGACTTTGGCTCCTGGATCGTCGAACTCAACAAGTTTCGAGTATCATGTTATATGCCAACGCCGTGCTGTGTGGGCGAGAAGAAGACTCCAAGTTTTGGAGTCCATCATGGTGGCTTAGTCGCGTTCCGTCGGCCATTTCTTTGCAAGATTTAGGCTGGCAAGACGAAACAGTGCATCTAGTCCCGGGCTAGAGAGGGGAATACGGTCCGCCTGTTTGAACACTTACAGACAGGTCATGACATGCTCGTTCTGCTGGGCATTTGTGACTTGCACCCGAGTACAGGGCCCAGGGGTATCATTCACACAACCCCCTCCCGGGGGGAGGGCAGAAAACTCGAGCTCCAAGCGTAGGTGCCGACAAAGTTCGGAAGCCCAAAGTCTGGTTCGGTTTCTTTTATCTGATTTCTTTTCAAGTTTTATCTTTTCTTGATTTCTTGCTCCCTTTCGAGTTTAGCTTTTTTGAGCCAGAGGGTCACTACGTACCTACCTGACCAAAAGCCGTAGATAGTACGAAGTACTTCCAGTTTGGCCGAACTCACGTTGTGGATTTTAATCCAGTTGATCCAAGTGGAATCATGATCGGGTTGATAATGACTGACACTGAGAAAATGATAAAACTTCTAAGTCCAAACATGGAATCTACGGGGATCGCCGATCTAGTCATGAATCTGGGCCACACCGATCGGAGACAGCAGCATGCTGTGTAACCTTGGTGCTTGGGCATGCTCGATGACCCAGGGGATTTGCCACAGGATCTGGCCGTTTGGACGCTCTGCGGGAGATGCCGGCAGTGGTCGTCTGCAAAGAGGCCTTGGGCGGAGATTGTACGGACGAAGTACCCATCCCATACTGTGTCGAACGAAGTCTTCTGTCATTCGCTGACACTCCCCAATTTTGGTCAAGTTTAACTAACCCTTGTTGACGGCGCCCAGCTGAAAGAGAACAGACGGCAACAAAAACAGAACAAGGCCAAGACAGCAGAAGAAAAGAGATGGGATTGGTGTCCTGCTTCCAGATCCAGCCTTTGAGATTCTCATTCCTTTCGTACCCCTTCTTTCATGATCGATGAGCAGCCAACATGGGGGATGCTTTTCTCCCAAAGAGGATGGGCACAGGCTGAGGTGCATGCGACAATGAGCGCTAATGTGTACGTCCATCAGCCGCAAGAAGGCGCAGCAGTCATCTTCGGCTCGCATTTTTCTTCTTCGCCTGCCACCGTCTCCCGAAGCGTTTTGGAGCCGTGTCACCTGGTCCCGTTTCCAAGACAGGGTCCCGTCTGCGAACTCTTTTGGTCGCGGGTGCGACGTCGCGGCATGGAGACCGGGGGGTGTCTCGACCCAGCTTGGCGCTGCGGTTGTCAAGCAAACTGCTGAGATCGGCGAGGAGCATCGTAAGACGGAAGGACTTCCAAGCTGCGGCTTCAAACGGGCCGGCGATGATTTGCTGTTTTTTACTTTCGCTTTCTGATTACCCGATTCATGAACAGAAAGGCAACTAAAGAGCACCGCTTCAATTCGACCATTGCTCATGATCCCTTGTTTGCAAAAACCTCAGATACCGAGGTATCTAGGTATTTTCGGCACTCGTCCGCGCTAGTAGCCCGTTTTGTCCGGCAGGCTTACTGCCGGTGCCAGGAAAGAGCTCTCTGCGAAGCCATGGATGCATGGATGCGGCCCCAGCTCGTTGTCACTGATGAGTTGAGCCAATGGGAGCCTCTCAAAAACGCCAATCAGGCAGTGCTCGCCAAACCCCGCCAATTCTGGCCCAGCTCATTTCTTGGAGGGTTTCATGGCGCATGGCCCTGCGTGGGGCGGCTTGGGCCTGGACCAGTTCCCGTCTTGTCGTTCCTCTCTTCCCAGTTTTCAGCCTTCGGCGGGCACATGGCGCGCTTTTTGGAATCGCGCCCTTTCAGCTTTGCCGTCTTGGCACACTGACCTCCGTTTCCCGGCTTCAAGGCCTGAGGCTTATGGTTCCGATGACCAAAAGTGCTGCGAGATCCCTGTCTGAGGAGACGGAGCTGTCACCGCGGGTGGTGAAGAGTTAAGGTTAAAGTTGAGCGTCCCCCGCGCTCGTTGGGCGGTGTGGCCTTGTCTTGCGTTTTTTTGTGTGTTTTCGTGTCTGCCTCGTCGTTTTTGTGTCGCAAACTTCGAGTCCTGCCAGACTTTCGCCGCGCAATCCTTGTCGCTGTGAAGTTCGTTTTCCCACTCGTCGAGCTCAATAAAGCATCGCCATGGCTGGCCAAGGTCTCCTCGCCGTCGGCGTTCCGCCGCAGCCTCTCTGGCTCCTCTACGTCAAGATTGCCGTTCTGGTCATCTCCCTCATCGTCCTGGCCCTCTCGGCTTATGCTCTGTCGCTCTGGCCCGCCGGCGCCGGCGGGATGGACATCTTTGTCGTATGTGCCTCCCTCCTTTCCCTTTTTTTGTCGTCGCGGTGGGTGATCTGACCCCGGTTCCGCAGGCCATCCTGAATTTCATCGTCTACGGCACTACCGGCGCCCTCGAGCTTTGGGCCCCCCAATACTTCTACCGCATCGGCGCCCTCATCGGCTACATCCTCACCGTCATCTTCTGGCTTACTGCCTGGGCTTGGTCGGCCAGCGACGCATCTGCTTGGATATCTTTGCTCGGGTACAGAGCGCTCGGCGGAGCCCTGGGTGGTTGTGCTGGTCTCGGTGCTATTGCTTGGTAAGTAAAGCGCATCGCATCCCTGAATCGACGGGGCTTCTTGGGCCGGCTATGGCATGGGCCGGGGCTAACTTTTTGTTTTCTTTCAGGATCCTGGTCATCGTGCACCTCGCCTTCTTCATCCGCGCCAGCGTCGTCGACGATCCTGCCGGCACTGGACAGGCCGAACTCGGCCAAGTCAAGACCGAAGTTCCCCCCCAGCAGTACCCCCAGCCGTACCCTGCTCAGCAACCCTATCCTGCCCAGCAGCCGTACCCCGCCCAAGAGCCGTACCCCGCCCAGCCGTATGCTCAGCCGCAACAACCGCAGCAGCAGCAGCCCTACCCCCCCCAGTAATGGGCTGACACCGGCGATATTTTCTTAACTTGTCGATGACTGCAGCGGTTGCTTAATGAGGGCGGGTTTGTTGGATGGCGATGGGTGGGTTGGATCGTTATGGGTGGGCTGATGCAATTGGGTTCGCGGTATTTTGGCTGGTCTTGAGGAAGTGTCTGCGGGGGTTCTTTTTGTTGCTTTCTTACACACCCACACACGGTGTGTTCAGAGGTCCGGTTGCTTGGAGGAGTGCGATGCGATCGATACCCAGGACGTCTTGAATACGATGCCATTTTTGCACTACTTACACAACCTCATTTCTTGTCCGGCCGATACAAATGTTTGGTTCCCACACGAATAACGAGTTCATTGACCAATGTTTTTCCGACAATACAAATCCACATCACACCACACCACCACCTCCTCCTCCTCCTCCTCCTCAGCATCCCCCCATCCACCCAACCCCTGCTCAACCCCCCATCCCTCCCTCTTTCACCTCGCTCCCCCAGCCCCACCATACCCACCACCACCAACAACCAACCCCGCAAAACTCACCACCCCAGCCAACAACGCCAAAACCCACCGCAAGTGATTCAGCCGCGCCCACGCGACCACCAACTCCGCCATGTCGGCGCGCTCCGCCCACGCACGCGTCGCCGCCCCGCCCGAATGCCGCCGCACGCTCGGCCGCAACAACGTCGTGGTTGTGGCCGTCGTGGCCAGCCCGTTCCTTCTTCCGTCCTCCTCCTCCTCCTCCTCCCCCGCCTCTCCCCCTCCTTCTTCCCCACGGTCTCCCCGGCCTCCCCGGCCTTCCTGCCGCTGCCGCAGCAGCGCGGCCGCCTTCCACTTGCACGCGCCGTTGATGCCCGGCTCGAAGACGAGGAAGGTGAGCGGGAGGACGGCGAAGGCGAGGGCGGCGGCGGCGAGGTGGAGGTGCTGTTGCTGGGGGTGTTGCGGGTGTTGCGGGTGGTTGGGTTGGGCGAAGGCGAGGTACAGGTTGGCGAGCACGCCCGTGTGGACTAGGGGCGGGACCCAGCGCGGCCCTTGCTGGTAGAGGGCGAGCCACTGCCGGGCGAGGAGCTGGCGGTGTGCGGTGGTGGTGGTGGTGGTGTGCGCGAGCAGGTGCATGGTGAGGGAGTATTGGAAGGTTATGCCTGGGCGGGTGGGTGTTGGTTAGGTTGGTGTATGGGGTATGGGGAGAGGGGAGGGGGATACCGGCGTAGAGGGTGGGCATGGCGATTCCTGCCCATTGGGTGATCGTGGCGAGAGCTGGGAAAGACATCCTTCGAGATGAGAGCTGGGGATACTTTTATAAACAACCTCGCTTTCTCCGTTTTTGGAGACTTTTAATCGCACGGCAGGCCCTCTGGTCTGCCCGGGTCGTTGAGAAGGCAGCGAATACAATACTACGGAAAAACAAACTTTTTCATCTAGCTGACTAGCTAACAGTAGTGACAGTAACTAGTTAGTTACACAGTTGGTATGGTATGATTACGTCATGATGTGCACATCGCAACAGAAACACAAAAACAGAAATTCGCACTAATTAAGAAAATGGACAAAACCTCAGCGCAGCAAAGGAGGCGTCCCGCCCACAAACCAACAACAGCCTCATCAAGCCCAACAGTGACTGTGCACCCCCTGCCACACACCCTACTCCTCCAGTCCCTCCTTGGGCAGAATGTTGTGCCGCATGAAGACAGGAACGACCAACGCGAGCGTATCCTCTATGTCCGGGTTTATCTGGTTATTCTTAATTTGTTCGGCCAAGTCCTTCAGAAGCGTGTGTTCCCATGCTCGCGCGCCATGTCTCTCGGCGGACAGCTTCGTCGGACATCCGCCAACAGCTTGGATCCTGGTTGCGATAGCCTCAACGAACAGGAGAGACAGCTCCTGTAGGCATTGATCTGCCAAGGTCGTGTCCATTGCCCGGATGCCGTAATACTCGACAGTGTTAACACCTCCAGCCGGTGTCGGAGTAGGTACGGCATTGTTCCTGCAACTGGCTGTCAGCATTCCCGCTCAAGGGTCAAAGGAGGGTAGCACACTCACTCGACTGGCTCGGGTGGGTAGGTCAGATGTATCCTGAAGCACGTGGACTGGTCCATTGATTCCCCCGCGTCATCGACTAGGGCCCCAGGCTCCTTCGTGAACACGTACACTGTGCGTCCGATCCACTGTTCCAGCCTTGCCCGAGTTGTCGGTGAGTTTAACGATGACCCTGCTCCCACAATGCGCCATAAGCATCCGCGATATACGCAGATGCGACCAACGCGATGAATGTCAAGCCTGCACCGACAAAATAGCAGATCACCCCATTGCGTCCGTCTTGCGTGTCAACGGCAGCGAGCTTGCTAATGAAAACCCAAGCTCCAGACTGGACCAACGCGCCAACCACAGCGAGAATGCTACGGCTTTCAAAGCCCAGCCACGGACTGCTGGGCTTTTTAAGACTCCAACTCAGGTTAGAAGACCCATTCACCATGAACTTGAAATCCCCCGGCCGGTGCTCGCTGTCGTCGTTGGACTGGAGTTTCCAGTGAAAGCCTGTGTGGTGGGGTGTGGTGTGCAGGTACAAGCGGCGCTGGAGGTCAAGGATTCGCCCCTTCTCGGTGACGATGAGGGTGGTGATGTTACCCAACGGCAAGCTCCCCTTGATGCGAGAGATGTTCCTCCCTGTCCACGCCTCACAGACCCCGGCCGATGTGGACGGTAATAGCTCCTTCTCGATCACGGCGGGCTCTTCTCGAGACCTAGAATTCATGACGCCTTGGTTAGCGACGGCCTCATGCACGATCGGACACACCACGCTACACACCAGGGGCCGATACCTTCCAACAGAGAGTTTCAGCCATTTCGGCCCAGCAATGCGGATGGTGTTCAGGGTGGCCAAGCCAACACCTACAGGGCCAAAAGCAAGTAGAAGGTAGTCTCGAAAACCGCGAATCGTGCTTTGGAACTGTAGCGTCAGTTGGTCGCCATATAGAAGCAGCACCGCTCCTATGAAGGTTAGGATTTGTTCAGTTGCCTGGGCGCCGCCTTTGGGTGCGCCTTTGTCGGCCTGTTCCATTGTGGAGATTGATCATGAAGAAGAGGAAGTACAGCAGAGGTGAGGGGTGCGAGATTTGCAGAAACGAAGGAGGATCACGAAGAAGAGGAAGGGCAGTAGGGGGGGGGAGGGGTGCCAGATCTGCAGAAGAGTGATCACGAAGAAGAGGAAGGGTAGGAGAGGTTATTGGTGCGAGATTTTTAGGGGGGGGGGGTGATTGGGGGGTTGCCTTTGTCGGAGTATTGCTCTCTGTATCGTCCATCGTCCTTTCGTCAATTCAAGAGAAAACGCCGCCCCGAATTTGTCAACCCCCCCCCTTCCCCCCCCAACAGATAACCACACGGCGCATCTTTCGCTGAAAGACTGTCCTTCGGGGTCTCAAAGTATGCTGGGGCTGTCCCAAACCTTCCCTACCCCCCCCAAATGTCCCTTGTTGCCACTAACACCCCTTTCGCCCCGGCGGCGTAACGGCTACAGACAGACAAGACCAATTCCGCAGCCTTTCTCTTACCGTCTTTCCTCTTCACTGGCTGCCTCGGATGGGAGTCCACAGCTGCAAGTTTGAAATGGGCCAGCGGTTCTCAGGAGCTGGTAGCCGTGCGGCATTTCTTAACCATGGGTCCCAGGGTTTGGGACGCTCCCGATGTTTTCTAAGCTCTCCGTTTAGCAGCACTGTCCTGTGTTGTCCCAGTGTGGACAGTCTGAAAAGCCAGGCCCCTCCGTTTTGATCCAGCTAATGATTTGCAGTTCACGGGCGACTGCTTGAAGCCAGCCCCACCCCCCCCCCCCCCCACCTTGGATGAGTGGGGGTTAGGTTGGGGGGGGGGGGG